TGTTGCCAGGACCCTCTAGTAATTTTTTTATTTCAGTTATTCTTTTCAACTCCAGAGTGTCTATTTGTTTTTTATTATTTCTACCTCTATTGATATCCTCTATTTGGTGAGACATTGTTGTCATTTTTTTCCTTTAGTTCTTTTATCAGTTTTCCCAAGTAGGGAAAAACCCACTTCTCCAACTGTGTTTCTCTCTTACTTTCACACTCACAACACTTTCATGTAGTAGACCACTCTGCCTGATTTTAGGAACTGTATCTCTACCCCTTGTGCCTAAGGGTGAGAGACGACCTTTGGAATGCCAGCTGCAGGAGACAAAGCTTGTCTCTGGTAGCAAACGCTGCCTCAGTTCCTCTCCCTGCTCCCAAAGCTTGGTCAGAAGTCAATGACCGGTAAGACCCCTCACAGCGGGGGGGGGGGGGGGGCAACCTAAGCCAGACTTGATCACTTGGGAGGCCTTCATGGAAGGACTCAGGGGTCTGCAACAAAGAGCAATGAATTCTCACCCCCTGGCTTTGACAAAGCCTGAGTCCCCATGTTCTCTGGGAGAAACGCTTCCTGGCTCTAATCCCCTTAAGCCTGAATACCTGTTGGGGAGAGGTGCAGCTCCTGGCCTTGCTAGAACATGCCCTGGGGAAAAATCTGGCATCACAAAGACTTGCTGATAAACCTGTGAAATCTGCTCTGCTAAGAGTGCTTTCATGCATATGATAAGGGTCTGAGAGGAAATGGGTAAGTTTCTGCAACTCTCTTCTTAACAGGCACTGACTCAGACTTTGAAGCCCTCAGATCTCTTTGAAATGTTATCTACTGTTCGATCGTTGCTGCCTTGTATTCCTGTGTATTACAACCCAATAAAAGGCTATGGAGAAAGGTGCTCGAGGAAACTTCAGCACAGTTCCTATGGAGAAAGGTCAGGGCTAGGAGGGTCCTCAGTGTGCAGGAGCTTTGGTCCTCATGGGATGTGTCACTCTCCTGGTGTGGGTGCTTTTGCTAACCTGGAAGCTCTCCATATGCCCTACCATTGGGATTCCTACCTACCTGGAAGAAAACATAAAGCAATGATAATTTTTTTAATCCAAAAAGACTTTCCATGCTACCCAGAGAGGGGCCCATATGGCATTGTTCTCAGTTCCCATGTAATTTAAAGGGAAACTTTCACAAGGTCAGGAGCCCTTGATGTCCTGCAAATGAAGGAGGAGGATGTCCCCACATTCCTTGCAGCAGGCATCCATTTGGATGCTAGCAACCTTGACTTCCAAGTGGAACAGCACATTTACAAAAGGAAAAATGACAGCATCTACATCATAAATCTGAAGAGAACCTGGGAGAAGCTTCTGCTGGCAGCTTGTGCCATTGTTGCCATTGAGAACCCTGCTGATGTCAGTGTTATATTGTCCAGGAACACTGGCCATCAAGCTGTGCTGAAGTTTCCTGCTGCCTCTGGGGCCACTCCTATTGCTGGCCACTTCACTCCTGGAGCCTGCACTAGCCACCTTCTTGGAGCCAAGACTTCTGGTGGTTACTGATCTCAGGGTTGGCCACCAGCCTCTCACCAAGATGTCTTATGTTAACCTGCCTACCACTGCTCTGTGTAACACAGACTCTTCTCTGTGCTGTGTGGACATTGCCATCCCTTGCAAGAGCAAGGGGGCTCAACTCAGTGGGTCTGATGTGGTGGATGCTGGCCAGGGAAGTTCTGAGTATGCATGGCACCATCTCCCATGAACATCCATGGGAGGCCCTGCCTGATCTCTACTTCTACAGAGATCCTGAAGAGACTGAGAAGGAAGAGCAGGCTGCTGCTCAAAACCCTCTGACCAAAGAGGGATTTCAGGGTGGATGAACTGTTCCAGTTCCCCAAGTTCACTGCTGCTCAGCCTGAGCTCATTGACTGGTCTGAAGGCACAGGTGCCCTCCATGTCTATTCAGCAGTTTCCCACTGAAGACTGGAGTGCTCAGCTTGCCACTGAAGACGAGTCTGCAGCCCCCACTGCACAGGCTACTGAGTGGGTAGGAACAACCACTGAGTGGTCCTAAGCTGGTCTTCTACAAACATGTAACAGAATAGAAATAAAAGTATGAACAGTTTCTTTTAAAAAATCTTTAAAAGATACCCAACTGGATTCTAGATATTTCTTGTAGCTTTATGTGACAACGTAATCACAGTTTCTGAGACCTTTCTTCTGAGACGCAGGAGAGCCAGAAGAGGGAGTGAAGACGATATCCAGAGCTATACTTCTCTCTCTCTTTCGGCCACTCACTCCTCTGGAATCAGGGAGAAGACTTTTGAATCACATTTGCGCTTTAAATTAAAAAATAAAGAAGACACCAATTTGTATATTGAAAGGAGATGAATCTCTGAAAGTAGATGCAAAGTTGCATTATTAAGGGACCTACTCCATGGTGTGAAAGGGAGAGGTCCAACTTAGTACACGTGGGGAAAGTTGGAAATAATAATACTGATTTTGGTTTTTAATACTCGGGAGTTGAGGGTCCTGAATAAACCATTTACCTGCTGAGCAATCCCAGCAGCTGAAAGATCTCCAAGACTCTGAATAGTGACTGTGTGCCAAATGTGTCGCAAACAATTGATCTGCTGGATGGATGTTAGAGCAGGACTTGCTGGTTCCTGGCTGTGGCATTGTTATCATAATGAGTAATATGTCTTTATTGATCGGAACATGTCTTAGTCAAGAACAACCATACCCCTATTTGTTAGAGGAGCAGTGAGAGCCGAGCTGGAGGAGACATTGTTAACTTCATGAAATGTGAAGTACTGTTATTACTCATGTGGCTATTGCAAGAATTAAAATAAGGTATCTAAAATGCTCAAAAATGCTTGTGAATTGATTAGGTATGGATATACTCTACAAATGCCAGTTATTTAAACTATAGTCCAGAATGTAGACTTCTCAGTAGACCTGTGGGTGAGATGGCAGGGTGAGGCTAGAGTAGGGATTCTCTAAATGAATTATTGCAAAACCCCTTGCAATATTGGGGACCCCTTCAGGGAGTTATGGAAGTCAAAACTATTTTCATAATGACACTTAGACATTATTTGCCTTTCCCACTCTTGTTCACTCACGGTTGTGCCCCGGAATTTTCCAGAGGCTACACAACATGGGATGAAGTCATGGCTGTGATGTCTAATAGAGGGTATACTTTGGTATTAGGTTTTAAATTTTTCCTCAGTCTTCAGTGGTTTCCAGGAGTTGAAGGTGGGTGGGTGGAGGATTTCACTACAGTGGGTCAGGGAGGAACTTGGCTGGGGTGGGGAATGATGAGTCAATATCTTAATTATGGTAATGGTTACATGATTACACATTTGCCCAAATTCATAGAGCTATACACTAAAGCTAGGTGAAGTTTATGCATAAATTATACTTCAATTTTTAAAAACCCAAAAGTCATTTCTTAATTTTAGTTTATCATAGTATAAATATAGTTAGATATAACCCACATAAACAAAACCTCTACAAACTTAAGCTCTACAAACCAAGAGGTTCTTAGACTGAAAACTTTGGAGAATCACCGAACGAAAGCATGGATTTCTTTCCTAAAGCAGTTGTGATTGTTTGCTCTGGAGTTGGGGGAAGTGATCAATAGAGATGGCAAATTCTCTCTCGTTCTAATGCTTTGTAAGTTGTGCTGTCCAGCATGGTAGCTACTGACCACGTGTGGCTATTGAGACCATGAAAAGCAGCTGGTCCAAATTGAAATGTACTAGATAAAAAAAGTAATATATCTCATTCATAAGTTTTTATGGAGAAATGACAATAATTTGGATATATGGCAGGGGTGTCAAATTCATTTTCACTGGGGGCCACATCAGCCTGGTGGTTGCCTTCAAAGGGTCAAACTAATTTTAGGACTGTAGAATTGTAACTACACTGATACGGGAAACTTTGAAAAACTGATAGGAGCCTTTGAACTCTGCTTCATCCGTAGATAGAACTAATTACCGCATTCTGCTTCTGTACCCTTGAACTCTGCTTCTGCCCCGTAGACAGAACTAATTACCGCATTCTGCTTCTGTATCCTGCTTTGCCACGTAGATAGGAAGACCCCTAATCTATATATTCCCCAAGAATCTTTTGTTCAGGGCTCAGAATTTGGAAATGACTCCTCTGGGCCCATGCACGTTAAACAGTAAAGCTCCTACTCCAGAATCCCTCGGTGTCTGGTCGCTTCATTTCCCATAACAACACCTTAACTGTTAAGGAGTTGAAATTACATTCAGCCCTTTGAGGGGACCCCAGAGGCTGATGCGGCCCCGGGTGAAAATGAGTTTGACATCGCTGACATATGAGGTCAAGTAAAAGATGTTCTTTTCCTCTGTTGTTTTTCACTTTAACATGGCTACTAGAAAATTTAAAATGTGGCCTGCATTGTTTCCATTGAACAGTGCTACCCTTGACTGCCAATCTTGTTTTTACCAAATACAAACGATGTCAAAAAGCATTACTTCTCTAATGTTCTTGGGTTTCATGGATATAAAATGCAGATAATGTTAAGGTTGGTGTGAAGATTGAATGTGAATGAATAATGCATGGGACGTGATTGGCAATGCACCTAAGTAAAAAATAAGTTTCATGGCTACCATTAAACGCCTCGGTTTCTTTGTTGATGCCATCAGAGATGGACCACGTGCTCATTTCTGGCCCTTCCTCTGCGACCTACTTCTACTCTGACTGTAATAACTACTGTTGTCCGAGGCCTGATCACGCTTTTGGACTGGGGCTGTCCTCTTCACGCCAAATAATTAAAAGGACACAGGGTCCGTCTTGGAAGTGGGATATCTGTATTCACGAACGGAGCTCTGGCAAAATCTGCAAATACAGCCGCCCAGGGCCGCAGGGAATCTCTTAGCAACCGACGCCAGGGCCCGTTGCTAGGAGGAAAAGGAAAAATAGGATGTGGTCCGTCGGCTTTTCCTCTCCGGTGGGGTGGCGGTGGCGGCTGTTTCCGGTCCTCCCGGGAGCCCGTCCTTCCGCCTCCCTTCCCCTGAAGATCAGAGACATAGACACAGGTTCCGCGCCTCAGGAGCCCTTGGCGACTTCTGTCCGTCAGCGGCGGTAGTGGCGGGGGCGGCAGGGACGGTGGGGACGGCGTCAGGCCTTCCACGCGGCAGTGATGCTGAGCTCCCGGGCCCAGGCGGTGATGAGCTCCGCCGACAGGGCCATCCAGCGCTTCCTGCGGACCGGGGCAGCCGTCAGGTGAGCTGGGGCGGGGGGGCTGGAGAAGCAGGGACCTGCGTCCCTCGCTTGGGCCTCTGGTGGCCTTTTCTCATCCTAGTCAGGATCCCCGAAGCCGGAGCGAGCATTCTGGAGGCTTCTGCGCCCTGCAGGGTTAGACCACCAGGCCCTGAGGCGGGTGGGCCTCTAGGGCTGTCAGGTCCTTGGCAACGCCAATTCTGTGTGCACTCTCCAGTGTTACCAGCGCCCCAGATTTTATCAGTGACCCTACCCCGGCTTGCCAGTGCCTCCTCCAGTCTTGTCATTATCCCCAGAACTTCTAGGGACTTTCAGGCTTGTCAAGGCCTCGAATTCTGTCAATGCTTCTCGGGCCACCCAGTGCCTCGCAGGCCTTCCAGGATCCCCCTCATCCTTTCAGGGTACCCCCAGTCCTTATCCCAGCCATGCCAGTTCCTGGCCCGCCAGGGTTCCCCAGGCTTGTCAACCTCGCCAGTCCTGTCATGGTTCTCAATCCTGTAAAGTGGTCGGGCCTGCTAGCGGCCCCCATTCCTCTTTGTCCCCCTCCCAATTATGCCGGGGATCCCCTATTCTATCTGAACCCCCTATCTTATTAGTAACTCATTATCTTGCAAGGGCCCCTAAACTAGTCAGGACCCCTTTACCTGTTCAAGCTCCCTGTCCTGCTGAGGTCCTCCATTCCTGCTAGGAGTCCCTCCCCAGCAGTATTGTCCCCAACTGTCAGGGCCACTATTTCCCTCCTCTTATTCACCCTCCATGGGCTCCAGGCTTCAGTGCTGAGCACTGCACCTTCATCACTGTCCCTAAACAACTGAGACCTGCTGTTCAGGTCAGCGTCCTTCCTCGGGACCTGGAGCAGGTCTAAGAAGTCATTATCCTGGCTGGAAGCGGCTGTGCTGTCCATTCTGTGGGTGGGAAATGTATCTTGAGAAGGCCTTGCCTATGGCCCTTCAGCTGACTGGATAGCAGAGCTGTGGACAGAAGCCGGATTTTTGCATGCATGTGCCACATGTTATCGTTCTGCAGAGGGGTGGCATTTCCAGAGTCACTGCTGGGCCCTGGGTTTTTTGTCGGAGGGCATGGGCAAGTTCTCTTTCCCCCACCCTTCAACACTCTGTTGTCCTTCAGTGTCCCTCATGAGCTTGGTGGTTTTAAGCACAGACTTGGCAGCCTGACAGGCAAAAGTTCACATCCACAGCGCCTCTCCCACTTCCACCAGTTGGCTCCGCCTCTTGGTTGCCTCATCTATAAAGATGGAGATGATAGCGCAGCCTGTTCCCTGGCAGTGTTTGGAGGATAAGCTAAGATTATCACCTGGCCTGACATGGAGTATGCACTCTGAAATGTTAGTGCTTCGATGCGGGATTCGACAGCATGTGGGCAAGTACTTCACCATTTCAGTGATAGTCCTTCGTAATCTTCCCAGACACTTTTACGAATATACCTATTGTGTAAAAGTCAGTACAGGATGTGTTAAGTAACTTTAGGAATAGCCTTCATAAATAAACTGAAAATTTTATGCTCAATAATCACAGCAGCTAACATTTACTAAGCTCTTACTATGTGCCCTGTGCATTAGTGCTGATTTTATCCTCACGAAAAGCCTCTGAGGCAGGTCTCAGGAGCATCCCCGTTTTACTGATTAGGAAGCTGAGGCTTAGAAGGTGAAATGATGTCCTAAGACAGCAGTTTTTGACCCTTTCCATCTCATGGCACACACAAACGAATTATTAAAATGCTGCAACTCACCAAAAATATATTTAATGCAGATCTAACAGAAAATAGGTATAATTTTGATTCACTCGCACTATCCAGCTATTGTGTTGGCTGTTGTCATTTTTTGTACTTGAGAAACTAAAGGAGAAGAGGTCAGGACCCCTCACTAAATGATCAGGTATTGCATGTTTTATTTATTTTTTAACTTTAGAGGGGAAGGGAAGGGGAGAGGGAGAGAAATATCAATGTATGGTTGCCTCTTGTGTGTCCCCTGCTGGGAACTGGCCTGCAACCCAGGCATGTGCCCTGACTGGGAATCGAACTGTGATACTCTGGTACGCAGGCCCGCACTCAATCCACTGAGCTACACCAGCCAGGGTTGGTATTGAATGTTTTAAAAATACAGCACCCCCGAGTGCCTCCTGGAGCATGCCAGAGCAGCGCACTTGCCCTTTCTTAACCAAGCTCTGGGCGGTGTTGACTCTGCTTGGGAAAACAACGATTCATTTGGAATTTGGTTATCAGTTTTGCATCATATCAGTTATGACACTAGGAAAATGTTAGTAGTTGTAAGATAAGAGTCCCTAGCGTCACCAGTAGCTGAGATCGAAACAATATTTACATGATCCACATACTGGGAGAAGAATGTATCCCCCCCACACATACCTGTATACAAACATATCTAATACATATATACAGGTATGTATTGCACGTATATATTTATACACACATATGTGGTTTGCTTTAGTCAGTGGAAAGGCATAACTTTGTATAAAAACGGTGGTTTAAATTGCTGGTGAAATTTCGAAATGTGCAGTAAAAGAATAACTTAAGTGTTCAGGACAAGCCTAAAATTAAGGATCTTTAATAAGTTCTTAAGAGATCTTATGTACTATTCCTTGTATACCTCCTCTTCATCAGTGCTCCAAAAGATGCTTCCATTTCTAGGTTCTCATCAATACCCAATCATTCAGTAAACTTTACTGAGGACCTACTATGTGCTGAGTATGATCTAGACCAGAGAATTTCACCTGGTGTGCCATGGCTACACTGGTGTGCCACAGGAATGGCTAAAACATGCCGTAACTGACTATTTTCCCTTAGACTGTCAAATAAAAAACAAATGACAACAGCCAACACAACAGTAGCCATCCAGTGTGAGTGAATCAAAATTATACCTATTTTTCAGTGTGCTGTAGAATTTTAGTAATTAGTCGAATGTGTGCCATGAGATGGGAAAGGTTGAAAATCGCTCTTCCAGACACTTGGGATGCGTCAGTGAGTAAAGTGACAAAGATTCCTGCCCTGGACACTTTGCATTCCATTTGCGGAAGCCAGGCAATAAACAGAGTGAATGGGTGAACTTTATGTTAAAAAGTGAAAAGAAAACTGAGTACTCAGTTTTTACTCAGTAAAACTGAGGAAAAGGGGCCAGGAGTGTGGGTTCTGGTAGTTTGTTGCACGTGAAGAGGAGGTGAGGGAGCGAGCCAAGCTGTGCCCTGGGGAAGAGCACACCAGGCCGAGGGAACAGCATGGCAAAGGCCCGAGATGGGCGGGGGACGGCCGGGGTGGTGGGGGACGGCCGGGGTGGCGCCGGAATGGCAAGCAGAGTAGCAGGAACACCCCGGCTTCTCCTCTGAGTGAGGCGGGACTTTTGAAAGGTTGTGCTCTGGTGTAGGTTTTAAATCCCGATGTGGAAATGTGCTGAGTTTTGAGGCATAATCCTGTACTGTATGTTACTTTAACTTGAAAGTTAGATGTTTGGAGGGCCGGGGGATTATTTTGATGAAATATTACTTTTTCCTCTCTCAGTATATATACTTAATGTGCTTGTGATGGGGGGACAGTAAACTGATTTTCTCTTTTAGATATAAAGTCATGAAGAACTGGGGTGTCATAGGCGGACTCGCCGCCGCTCTTGCAGCAGGAATATATGTTATTTGGGGTCCCATCACAGAAAGAAAGAAGCGTAGAAAAGGTAAGCCTGAGGCCCTGGCATTACAGTCTGTACACTTGACCCAAACCCTTCTTCCTCCAAAACACTACCAAAGGGGAGGGCGTTTTGGTGTTCTTGCACAGAAGTCATTTTAATGACTCATTATTTTATATCCTATAGTAAAATGATTTATATTTCACCTGTCAAGTCCTGAGTTTGAGACATGCATTGTAATGAAAAATTTTAGGTGGCTTAGTTGTCTAGTGTTCTTATTAATATAGTAATTACAGTTTTTATTTTTATTTTATTTTTTAAATTATTTATTTATTTATCTTTAGAGGGGAAGGAGAGAGGGAGAGAAACATCAATGTATGGTTGCTTCTCGTGCATCCCCTGCTGGGAACTGGCCCCTGCTGGAAACTGGCCTGCAACCCAGGCATGTGCCCTGACTGGGAATTGAACCTCGATCCTCTGGTTCGCAGGCCTGTGCTCAATCCACTGAGCTACACCAGCCAGGGCTAGTAATTACAGTTTTTAGCACTGCAGCTGACTTAACTGTGTGATGCATTTGTGGTTTCTGTAACTAGCTTCTAGTCAGTAGTAAATGCTTCAAGTTGTTTCTTCATTAACCCCAAAAATATCTATTTCCTTATTTTTTTTTTAATGTGCCTTTTGTAAATGTTGCTCTGCTTACGTTGGTTAAAAGTCAGCCTTGGAGAGGGAAGGGGTAGATGTAGCAAAATGTTCAGCACCCTTAAATATGAGGATGGTTATAATTAGAGTTTATTGTATGTTCTCTTTTATGCATGCTTGAGAATGATCATAATAAAAAGTGTTTTAAAAATTCTGGTAGAAGTGGGAAGTATGTCAGATTTTGTTGACCTCTTGCAGAAAGATTGATCAGAATCGCTGCTGCGTCTTTCCCACTGAATGTAAGAACGAAGTCATTGTCCAGGGAAGCAACAGCAGAACAATTGTTTTCTTCTGTTCTGGGGAACATTGTTTTCTTATCAAAGGAGAGAGGGAGAATGAGGGAGGGAAAGAGAGTGAGGAAGAGAGAGAGAGAGATGTTACTATGTCCTTTTATACACTCACTGTAAACCAGACTGTGCCAAATGCCGTGGTGGGTATCAGAGGTAACACAGGAAGGGGCCCTGTCCTTCTGTCATGAGTGTCCTGAAAGAGCAGAACTAGGACAGGGCCTCAGCATAGACAGAACGCCTGGCTCTGGATCTCTGTGGTTCAAGACTTCCTCACGTTCAATTTCACATTCAAAGCCACAGTGCAGAAGCTCTGGATCGCAGATGGGAGAGAACAGAGCTGATCCGACGCGGTGTGCTGTTCTCTTTCCCGTCCCACTTTTCCAGGGCTCGTGCCTGGCCTGGTGAACCTGGGCAACACCTGCTTCATGAACTCGCTGCTGCAAGGCTTGTCTGCCTGCCCTGCTTTCATCAGGTGGCTGGAGGAGTTCACCACCCAGTACACCAGGGACCAGAAGGAGCCCCCCATGCACCAGTATTTGTCCTTAACGCTGCTGCAGCTCCTGAAAGGTATCTGGTGGGACTCGAGGGCGGGCTGTGTGCATTTGCAAGGTAGTAGCCCAGGTGATAGGCAGAGGGTTAATTGCCTCTGGGTAGAGAAAGATTGTACAGATCATTATGGAAAAAGCACTTAAAGGCCCAGCAGATACAAACAGCTGCTTTACAAACAAATCAAATATGTGACCATCTTTTTTTAAAAATTAATCAGTTTGGTAACAGGTTTCTGTGGAAGAAGAAAATCCACTACAGACATAACCATTTTGGTCACAGAAAACTCTGGTTTCCAAAACATTAAAGCTTTTTTATTTTTAACGTACCTTGGGCTAGGAAGGAAGGGAATTTGCAAGAGGAATAATACAAATTGTATTTCGTACAAAGTGCACATATAACAAACACTCAAGTATTGAATTTACCCATCATCAAAGAAATATAAATAAAATGACAGCGAGGCACTATATATTTTTTTTTGCTTGTCAACAAGATTTGAAAAACAAACCCACACCCACTGGCTGCTGGGTGACATGTTCATACACACTATGGGGGGTGTGACTTTGAGGAAAGCCATTTGGAACCACACAGTAATAGCTTGCCAAATGCTCAGTACCATTTGACTTAGTGACGCCTTGTCCAGAAGTCTGTCTTACGGAGATAGAAGTGTGGTTGGTGGTTCACACGAGCACAAAGTGGAGAATTCTCAGAGTTCAGGAATGGCTGGATCCAGGCCCTGAGTGTGGAGAGGCACTCTGTATGTGAGTTTAAGAAGTCGTTGCCCTGGCTGGTGTAGCTCAGTGGATTGAGTACGGGCTGTGACCCAAAGGGTCACTGGTTCCATTCCCAGTCCGGGCATATGCCTGGGTTGCAGGCCAGGTCCCCAGTGGGGGCCATGTGAGAGGCAACCACACACTGATGTTTCTCTCCCTCTCTTTCTCCTTCACTTCCCCTCTCTCTAAAAATAAATAAATAAAATATTAAAAAAAAGAAGTTGCTGATCTAACTTCATTTTTAAACCACCGTTTTCAACTCCAGAACTACCCCCCCACCCCTTCCTACCACATTAACATCTGATGACGTCCTGAGGACTCTGCAGAATGTAATTTGGGAAACGCCGTTATGTGCACAGAGATCTCTAGCACCAAGTGGTCATGGGGGCAAAGAAGGGAGAGAATGTGCTTGTTCAACAGTAGAAAGATGAAGCAATCGACGGGGTGCTATTGGGCTGGCCAAAAAGTCCGTTCAGTTTTTTTCCGAAAAATCAAAGACATATTTTTCATTGTCACCAGTGGCTTTATTGATGTGGGTGTTTTGAGTGCGTTGGCTGTCTCCTGCTGTTGGCTTCTGGTGGGTAGAGGTGCTGCCAGGCATCTTCAGTGCGTGAGGCAGCCCCCTCAGCAAAGGGCTTTTTGGCCACAGTGTCAGTAGTACCAGGAAACTTCGGAAACCGCTTTTGACATGTTCAATCATGTCAAAAGCACCTTCTCCACACACTGAACAAATCTTTCTTTTTTTTTTAAAATTATTTATTTATCTTTAGAGGGGAAGGGAAGGAGAGAGGGAGAGAAATATCAATGTATGGTTGCCTCTCGTGTGTCCCCTGCTGGGAGCTGGCCTGCAACCCAGGCATGCGCCCTGACTGGGAATCGAACCGTGATCCTTTGGTTCGCAGGCCTGTGCTCAATGCACTGAGCTACACCAGCCAGGGCCAATAAGTTTTTTAAATGCACACTGATATGACAGCTGTCACAATACACTCGTAACAAAATTGTTTCGAATGCAGTTAAAGACAACTAAGTACTACTAAAGCCATCGTGTGGAAAAAACAAAACAAACTTTTGGCCAACCCAAAACATAGCCATTCGGAATCATCTATATGAAGTCTACTTTTCTAATTTGGGAGGTGGCATAAGCTATAACATTAAGTTTTAAAGAACAGGATACAAATAGGATATAATTTGATTTCAGCAAAGCAAAAACTTCTACACATAGAGACTGGACAGAAAAAGATCACAGTGTTAGCCGTGACCACTTTGGTATTGTGTACCTGGTAGTTTGAAAACATTTTTTAACTATTTTTTTAAAACTCAACAGTAAGCATATTTTATTCTCACAGTCAGTAAAAAATTGGATTGAAAAAGCACTCAGTTAAATATTGTTTCACGGAGGTATTTTCCCAAGTGGTCTCCGCTTGACACAGAAATCTTTATGAAGCAAGTTCTTAAAAAAAAAAAACTGTTGCAAAGTCTGTGTGAAAAGCCGAAGTGTCCACATAGGTGACCTGATGCAGATCTGGGAGTTGTGCTGACCCTGAACACAGGCTTCAACTCGGTGCCGGAAACCAGAGTCGTGCCAGGTCAGCTGTCCCTAGAATATATGGTCCTTTCTCTGCTTTTGCTTTTTAGTGTCTTTTATTTTGACTTTTAGAAAAAAAAATTCAGCATATAAGTAATGCCTGAATAACTTCTCCTTGTAAGCAATGAAAGCATTACAGATAAGGCTGGGGTCCTCTTATCACCCCCCCAAACCTGCTTCCTGCCTTCCTTCCCCAAAGTAAGGTATCAGTGCCTACTTCCAGACCATTTCCTGTGCACTTAAACACATTTCTAAGTGCCCACAGGAACTATATATTGTTTAGTTTTTAACCAAATAACATAATATATGCATTAGAGAAACACCTGTAGTACGTGTAAGCTATGCCTCATTCACTGTATTTTTTGCGTGTGTGTGAGTTTATTGGCTTTATATTTGTTGTCTTCTGCGAATTGCTTGTGCATGTCCTTTGCCCATTTTTAAAAATTTTTATTTATTTATTTTTAGAGAGAGGGAAAGGGAAGGAGAAAGAGAAGGAGGAAAACTGATACCAGTGTGTGGTTGCCTCTCACCCACCCCCTCCTGGGGACCTGGCCTGCAACCCAGGCTTGTGCCCTGACTGGGAATCGAAATGGCAGCCCTTTGGTTCACAGGCCCGCACTCAATCCACTGAGCTACACCAGCCAGCCTTCGCCCATTTTTAGAAATTGTGATTAAACATTTAGGACGTGAAATTTACCATCTTAATCATTTTCAAATGCACAGTTCAGTTCTGTAGCATTAAGTACATTCACAGTGTTGTGCAGCCGTAACCACTGTCCGTCTCTAGCACTTCTCATGATCCCGTGTTGCAGCTCCACCCGTGAAACCACCCTCCGTCCCCGCTCTGCCCGGGCCCCTGGAACTGCCGTTCTTTCCGTGAATTTGCCTGTGTACTTGGGTCAAGTGGCATCCTGCAATACCTGTCCTTGCATCTGGCTTATTTCACTCAGCGTGATGTCTTTAAGGTCGTCCACTTGCAGCCTGTGTTATGATTTCATTCCTTGTTAAGGCTGAATCTGAATAATATTTCATTTTGTTTATCCATTCATAAGTCAGTGGATATTCATGTCGTTTCTACCTTTTGACTATTGTGAACAGTGCTGTTGTGAGCACAGCTGTACAAATTTCTGTTCAGGTCCCTGCTTTGAATTGTTTTGGGCCTATACCCAGAAGTATATGAATCAGATGGTAATTCTGTTTAATTTATGAGGAACCACCCTACTGTTTTCCATAGAGGCTGTACCACGTTACGTTCCCACCAACAAGGGTTCCAGTTCCCCTCGTCCTCGCCAACACTTGTTATTGTCTGTTTCTTTGACAGTCGCCATCCCAGTGGGTGTGAAGTAGTATCTGATGGTGGGTTTGATTTACAATAATGATAAATGATGTTAAGCATCTTTTCATGTGTTTATTGGCTGTTTGTATGTCTTTTTCTTATAACTCTCTATTCAAGTCCTTTGTCCATTTTTGAATTGTCTGTATTTTTGTTGTTGTTGTTGGGTCTCTGGAGTTCTTTATATATTCTGGATATCAGTCCTTCATCAGATATGTTATTGGCAAACCTCATTCACTTTTACAGTTGCACAGTATCTACAATACTGAGACACCCCAGTTTATTTAGCCACTTGCTTCAAGTGCCTAATGCTGATAAACAGGTTGTAGTGAACACCCTTGTACATGTCAGGCATACACATAAGCATGGATTTCGCTAGGGTAGATCCTGAGAAAGTGAAATTGCTGGGTTGTAGGGTGTGAAAATTAGTAGGCCGTGCCAGATTGCTCCACAGCATTTTAGGCAAAATTGAGCTAACAGGGACTTGAAATTAACCTTGGGAGGGAAAATGCTGACAGAAGGGCTGCCTGGTGTGTGTAGGAGGAAAGAGGAAGGTGCAGTTCCTTCCCTAATGCGCTCCCTTTGTTCTGGAGGTAAAGGTCAGGCCTCAGGGTAACCTTTGCACGGGGAAGCCAAGCCTCAGGACTTCTTAGCACAGCACTGGTTGCCAGAGCTGCTGCTTCTCTACAGGGCCCTACTGTAGAGAAGTAGCAGTGTTCCAAACCTTCAGGGTTCAGAGCCCGAAGTATTCAAAGGAATCTTTCCAGTTCACTGGCTGCAAACCAAGGAGGAGAAACAGGCTGGCCTCGTTTATCTGGGGAGTCACTGAACTCCCAGAAACAGCACTGAGGTGACAGTGCTGGTTTTACGCCCCCTACTCTGGCCCAAGGGCCGAAGCTGCCCCACTGCCTGTTTTTGTAAATAAAGTTTTATTGAAACACAGCCCGGCCCATTTGTTGAGTGTTGTCTGGGGCTGCTTTTGTGCTACATCAGCAGAGTTGAGTAGCTGCTGCAGAGTCCCGTGAGGCCTAAAATGTTTACCAACTGCTGACCTAGTTTTAATTATAATACTAATTCATAAGCTCATCAAACTTTTCTTTGGAGTTGCACTGGAATTTTAAAAATTTAAGAAAAATTTTCAGTTATAGTTGACATTTAATATATTAGTTTCAGATGTACAGCATAGTGGTTAGACATTTATGTAACTTACAGAGTGATCTGCCTGCTAATTCTGGTACCACCCAATGCCATACAGAGTTATCACGGTATTACTGACCGCATTCCCATGTGGTGTATACTTCACATCTCCATGGCTGTTTTGTAACTGCCAGTTGTGCTTCTTAATCCCTTCACCTTTTTTCACCCACCCATTCAATGCCCCTCCCACTTGGCAACCATCAGTTCTCTATATCTCCATTTTGTTTGTTTGTTTGTTCGTTTGTGTTTTAGATTCCACTTGCAAGTGAAATCATATGGTATTTGTCTTCCTCAGTCTGGCTTATTTTATTTAGCACAATACCCTCTAGGTCCATCCATGTTGTCACAAATGGCAAGATTTCACTCTTGTGGATAAGTCATATTCTATTACATATATGTACCACTTTCTTTTATCCATTCATTGATTGATAGACACATAGGTTGCTTCTGTCTCTTGGCTGTTGTAACTAATGCTGCAGTGAACATAGGGATGCATATTTCTTTTGACTTAGCGTTCTGGGTTTCTTTGGATAAATACCCAGAAGTGGAATTGCTGGGTCCTTTTTTGTTTCTTGTCCATAACCTTTGTTTTAAAGTCCATTTTGTCTGATATAAGTATTACTTACCCTGTTTTTTTGTTTGTTTGTTTCCATTTGCCTGAAGTATCTTTTCCATCCCTTTACTTTCAGTCTGTGTGTCTTCCTATCTGAGGTGGGTCTCTTGTAGGCAGCACATGTCTGGGTCTTGTTTTCTTATCCATTCAGCTATCCTGTGTCTTTTGATTGGCACATTTAATCCATTTACATTTAAAGTAATTATTGCTAGGTATGTAGTTATTGCCATTTTGTTATTCGTAGTTTTCATTTCTTCTCCTCCTTATCTCCTTCTCCTCCTTCTAAGTTTCTTTAACACTTCTTGGAATACTGGTTTTGGGGGTGATGAGCTCCTTTAGCTTCTCCTTGCCTGGGAAGCTCTTGATCTCTTTCATTCTGAATGAGAGCCTTGCTGGCTAGTCATCTTGGTTGTAGGTCCTTGCTTTTCATCACTGTGACTATTTCATGCCAATCCCTGTTGGTCTTTCAGCCCATCAAACTTTCATTCTTGTTTATCAGTCTTGATTCTACTCATGATTGAAAAGTAACAACTCAGCAGACCCGTTTAGGCCGCCACACGTAGCTCCATGCTTTGCTGTGAGAATCAGAAACTCACATGCAGACAAAGACAAGCAGAGGCCCGACCTGTGCAGAGGAGTGAAGCTCTGAGTGCAGGCTGGACTGGATGACAGTGTAAGGGTCCTCCCACCCCTGAGAGTGGTGAGTTAGAATCATTTCGTTCAATAAGAATCCTGCAGCAATAAATTTATGTTGAAGGTAAATCAGATAACTGAAAACCAGTTGCATTATTTAAATGCTGCAGCCTTATGCAAAATCACATTCAACAAACACAAAGTGCTTAATAGTATACTAAGGTAACAAGGAAGAATGATGAAGGAGATATAATTCCAAGGTGGATTTGCAGTCCTTAAATTCTTAATTAGCTTTGATATGTTGGGCAGTGCGGGTTTTCTAGTTGGTCGTTACACTGGTGAGTTTAATAATTGTGTTACCTTTCTTTGTTTCCAGCTTTATCCTGCCAAGAAGTTACTGATGATGAGGTCTTGGATGCAAGCTGCTTGTTGGATGTCTTAAGAATGTACAGATGGCAGATCTCTTCGTTTGAAGAACAGGTGAACACCGCATTCAACACAGGTTTGCTAGAGAACCCTTCCCACTAACGAGCTGGGGTCTGAGCTCACAGTGATGGCTGAGAAACAGCTGCACTGTTGCCACAGGAAGAGTACCTGTCAGCATTGACCTTGCGGGTGCCTGGCCTGAGTGCGCATTCCCGTGACATTTTAGACAGCCTTCTGGGCTAGATTATGTGCATTGTTCCTGTTTTCATGATCAGAGGGGACATGGAGCTTTTACACCGACAAGTGGAAGGATTGTTAGCAGCATGGGGGTTAGCACAGTTGTCAAAGAGTAAAAATCTGCTTAGTTTTGAGTGATTTTGCACGTCAGTGGATGACGACAGGGCAGCTGGGTCCTTTAGAAGGGCAGGTGGCTTCATCTAAGGGGCTCAGAGGTTCAGGCAAGACCCTTTTGTAGACCCTGTCCTCATTTAAAAAAAACAAAACAACAAAGCAGAACGAGTCTTCAGAGGCTGGCTTAAGGTAGCCCCAGACTGGGAACGACTGTCCTGTGCAGCCCCAGGGCCTTGTCTGTTCCAGCAACTTCCACCTCCGTGTCCACACCTGCAGCTTCACTGCCTTCTTTGGTACTGGCCACCCTCATCTTCCTCCCCAGACCAGTGGACAGTCTGAGGCCAAGGCTCGGGACAAACACGTGGCACCCAGGGATGTACTGGTGCATCCTCACGAGCCACATTTCCAGACGGCCTTGTCCAGTCTGGGGTTGGCTGCTCTGTTTCACCCTCCAGGCCCTGGGCCGGAGGAAGGGGAGAGGGCCCTGGGGCCCCCAGTACTGTGGGGCTGAAAGAAAAGCATTGAAAAGCTCTGAAAAGGGAGGTGGGAAGGCCTTGTAGCTCCCCTTATTTTCAAAGGTTATCCGTTTGCACTTGAATCTGAAGCTGTATGTCTGTTACTTTTTAAACATGACGTGGGTAATACCTGTACTTTCTTACAGCACATCTAGAGTCACCCAGTGTATGTTGTGAAATGCTTTTCTGTTCAGAAAACACTCGTTAAAGCCTCCTCTAACTGGAATTATTTAGTTGTGCTTTTCATTTCTCTAAACTGAGAGTGACAGAGAGTTGGTCCCCAAGGACATCAGATACCTTCTCTGAGTCCTGCTCTTCTGTCAGGGGTCCACTTCAGTCCCAGGCAGCCCTTGGAAGTATCTCCGTCCAGCAAACGCAAAGTGCTCAGTAGTATACGCAGCAGTCGCTGACCCAGGGAGTGTGAGGGTGCGTGGAAAAGAGCCAGCCGTGTCTGCCTTCCTCTTTGAAGACATCCAGAGCATCTAGCACAGGGCCTCGTCTGCATCTTCATTGTGATCAATCTGGTTGATCGACAGCAGACTTCCGCCGTCAGTCACTTTCCAGTGTCTGCAGTCAGGCGGTGGGAGATGCGCTGGGCTAAGGGTGTGCTTGTGTGAGTTACGTTCAGTTCTCACAACAAGCCTGTAAAGCAGGGTGTCCAGCCTTCTGGCATCCCTGGCCCACACAGTAAATACACAAATGCTAACAAAAACTGATGAGCAAAAAACGTTTTAAGTAAATTTAAGATGTGGTGTCGGGCCGCATTCATAGCCATCCTGGGCCGTGGGTTGGACACCCCTGCAAGAGTTACTGTGATTATTCCCATTTACAGATGAGACACTGAGGTCCAGAGAAGTGAAGTAACTTGCCCAAAGCCACACAGCACTTGAAGTGGCAGAACCTGTCTGGTGCTCAAGTGCACACTTCAGCCCCACCCTCTTCTGTAGTATTTAAGTGGTTCCACGGCCGACTGTGACAGAGGCCGTTTGGGTCCGACTCCAGCCTTTCTTGGGACTTTCTCCCTGGCGAACCCTGCCCAGGACTTCAGGAGTTGACCCAGATGCCTGTTTTGAAGGCCCCCGGAGCCCTAGGAAGAGCTGATTGGATTCTCTCTCCGTCTCCTGTGGCTCGTTGGTCCTGACAGTAACATGGTGCTGCCTGGTGATAGTTAGGCAGTCACCTGTGTGGCTGGGTTGTGTCCCTCGAGGACAAGAGGCTTGCCTATGTGCCCTCGGCTGCTCTCGTGCTCTTGCTAACTGCCTTCACCGCCTGGGAGGGCGCCCGCTTATCCACACAGCAAACGTTTCCCCAGTCCTTTCCCAGGCTCAGCCTGCGGGGGACCTGCGGTTGTGCAGCAGACCTGACTTGCGGGTTCTGACGGAGCGCCCCTTCTAGTGGGGGTCGGGGCTGCAGGCAGTAAACAGGTGACTTCAAGAAGTGCTAACAACAAAAAAAAATGTGACCAAGTGTGAGTCGGGGGCCTGGAAGCTGGGTCGAGACCACCGTAGGTGGGGAAGGTGCTTCTGGAGGTGCGAGGTCTTTGCTGAGACCTGGAGTCGAAAAGAAGTGCAGCTGTGAAGGTCTTGGGTGTAGAGTGTTCTGGAAGCAGGAGCCAGGGCAGAAGCCTTGGGACAGCGACAGGGATTAGACAAGGATGCTGTATTTGCAGGGTAGTGAGAAGACCCGCGTGGCTGGGGCCGGGAGAACAGTGGAGGAAAGGGCTGCAGATGTCGTCAGGGAGTGTGGGTTGTGCAGGGCCCGGGAGGCCGTGGACTTCTGATCTGTGTGCGTGGGCAGCCATGAGAGGCTTTGAGCAGGGATCCAACTTCCATTTGAATGGGACCATGCTGGTCACTGTGTACAAGGGGGACTGCAGGTCCCCCTTGGCCATGGGGCCAAGATGGAAGCCGAGAGGAAAGTTGTGAGACCATGGCTGCAGTATCCAGGCCGGGGATGGACTGGCTCTCGGGCAGCGGGGCTGGAGAGATATTAGGGTACCCTTTGGAGGGAGAACCTGCAAACGAAGCGGCAGGGGTGGGGTTAAGTCAGGGAGGGTTGGGGGGGTGGGTCTCCCCAGGACCTTTGGTGGTGGGCACGCTGTGGTTACAGATGTTCAATCACAGCGTTGCACCCCTTAAACTCATAGAGTGTTATAAACCCGTGTTACCTCAACTTCAAGGGGAGGAAGAAAGGGCTAAGCGCTGAGCGAATTAAGACAATGAGAGCCGGAGTCCTAGGGCTGGATCCCTCAGGCACTGGCTGAGAAGGGGGGAGGGGTTTACTCTAGCTGGAAAGCCAATGGAAGTTTGAAAGCAGAAGAATAAGGTCAAGTATTTGCCTTTTAAAGGATCGCTTTGGGGACTGTGTGGTGGCAGACTGAGAGCTGAGGCTGAGAGCCCAGTGAGGACCAGTGCCGTCAGAGTGCGGGGTGGATCCGCCCCTCCTGGAGGAGTGGGGCGGCTTTGGCTTTTTGTGGGAGAGGGGCAGTGAATTGACCCTTAAAGAGTAGTCCCCCGGCCTCACGATACAGCAGTTCCACTAATGGGCATAAACCCAAAAGAATCGAAAGCAGAGACTCGGGCAGATATTTGTACACCCGTGTTCACAGCAATATTATTTGTGATACCCAAAAGGCGGAGGTAATTCAAGTGTCTGTCCATTAGCAGGTGAATGGATGAATGAAACATGGCATGTGCATATGTGTATGTGTTCACACGTGTGTAAATATATGCATATCTGTGTACACACGGTGGAATATACATACTCACACATAACAGATGTCATTCTGTAACATCGACGAACCTTGACGTTATGCCAAGTGCTATAAACCAGCCACAAAAGGACAAAGACAGTCTGACTCCACGTACAGGCAGGTCCTAGAATAGCCAAGTTCACAGAGACAGAAGGTGGGATGGCAGTTGCCAGCGGCTGGAGTGGGGAGAGGGAAATGAGGAGCTAATGCTTAATGGGTACGGAGTTAGTCTGGGAAGATAAGAAGGTTCCGAAGATGGATGGTGCTTATGGTCACACAGCAGTGTGATGTACCTACACTGCACAACTGCACACTTAGCAATGGCTAAAATAGTGATATTTAGGTTGCATGTATTTTACCACAATGAGAAAAGGGTAGCCAGGCTGGGTGGCAGTCAGGGCCATCTCAATAAGCTAAAATGGGCTCAGAGAAGCTGGTGGGGGGCACCCCTCCCACTTCCTTTTCTTCTCTGCCCCTTGGGGCTGTCAGGCCAGGGTCTCCACTGTGCAAGTGGCTGGGCCCTGGGAAGGCAGGCAGCGAACCCTGCCCACGTCAGCCGCGAGGGCGGCTGCCCAGGGGTCCTAACGTTGGGCGGCGTGGTTCCCATGCTGCCCTGGCCCCTCGGGCCTCCCTGAAGACTGCTTTGCCCTCTGGCAGGATGCTCACGAGTTATTCCACGTCCTCACCTCGTCGTTGGAGGATGAGCGGGACCGCCAGCCCCGGGTCGCACACTTGTTTGACGTGCGCTCCCTGGAGGTAAGCCAAGACCGTGTTCTGTACACTGAATGTGGTGCGTGCAATCAAACAGGTGTAGGGACCACAGGTATAATCTGTACCGTTTAAACTATCAAATCAGACCCAGTGCCAGTCAGGGGTGAGGCCGGGGCTGGGGGCGGGGAGGGCCTTAGACTGCCATCTTTGCAGGCGGCAACCACGATGAATGACCCCTCAGAAGGATTCATTGCCCCAATTTGTGTTGGCCTGAAAAAGAAAGAACACATTCTCCCCATTTAATGCAGGGGGACGCAGAGCTCTGGGGATGTCAAGCGGATCCTCGTTTCCCTGGAACATTATAAAAGTTAGCTAATAAAGGGAGGGGAGGTAGTGTTCCAGAGAGAGGGAATGTGTTTTGATTCCACTGGATGAGGGAATAGCACAGTAACCAGAGAGGGCGATGAAACCGCTTTCAGAAACCTTTGTTAACAGTTGGTCTGTGGGGTGGTCAGCGCAGAACCTTGTAAGATGCGGGGGTGGTCGGAGGGCCGCCGTGGGGTCTTCACTCGGTTTCTCTCCCCACAGCAGCAGCCGGAGATAACTCCCCAGCACATAACCTGCCGCACGAGAGGTAGTCACTCTCCATCACCTGTGACGTAGAAGATGGGTACTCTTAGATACAGCAATAATTGTTTGTTTAATCCTTTTTTCTGGTGATATCTAACCTGGCTTGAACTGTGTGTGCTTGCAAAAGGATTTGTGTTTTGGAAACAGCCTTAAATCGTCCCCTCGGTGAACATCTTGAGTTGTTCCTCATGCCTTTAGCCCTTCTCGGCTTCCTCCAAATGGACTTACTTCTGATACAGACAAGGGTTTTTACTTTTTATGTTCCTGAAATGATCCTGTTAGGAGCTGAACAAGCTGGAACTCATGTTCTCGGCACTTCTGCTTTGGCCGACCTGTCCTACAAGGGATCGAAATCCTCTTTAGAAGGAAATTCTTGTTTTCTTAAGACTTATGCTTTTTAAAAAAAGACATCCGTTCCTTTGTGCATTGGTCATAATAAGGACAATTCTCTTTGGAGCCCGTACTGTGTGCCAGGCCCTGGGATGTCCCGTTCAAGTCTCACATCAGCTCTGTAACGATGATACCAGGGACCGTGGGTCAGCACTTACCCCCATTTCCAGCACACTGAGGCTTCCTGGGTCCTGTAGCTGATAAGGAGCCAAGCCAGGCCCAGCTGCCTCCAGGGCCTGGGTTCCAACCAGCATGCCACGCTGTGCTTATTCCACTAACCCCCCGTTCTGTCCCACGCCCCCAAAAGAATATTTTCCAGAACTTTTTTATTCTGGTGATATTTCAGAAGATTGTTGTACTTTATGAACCATTCACTCAGGGTAGCCTTCTTTTGCTGCCTGAAGCATGTTAAGGATATATTTATAAACAGATGTTGCCAAACACAAATTCCTTTTTTCAGCGTGGCTGTTCCCATTATATAGAAACTACATTGAAGACCCATGTGAGTTTCCCTGTGAAGGGAACGGCTTGTCTTGCTGACGTGTGTCAGTAAGGAAAGCTATTCCAATTTAATTCTCAGGGGCATTTTGTTTTTCTAAAGAGAGTTGCTACCACATGCTAAAAAGGAGGGTGAGTTTGGAAGTTGGTGCCAGAGGGCTGGGGGAGGCAGATCAAAAGCCGTTTTATGTTCCAGGGGCGCCCCACCCCACGTCTGGCCACTGGAAACCTCAGCACCCCTTCCACGGAAGACTCACTAGTAACATGGTCTGCAAACACTGTGAGCACCAGGTAAGTGCGGTGCTGGGACTGTCTTCTCGTGGGTTTTTCAGTTGGGGTTCATGAGGGGTCGAGAGCATGTGGACTGGCGCTGGCGTGTGGCTTTTGGGATCTCCCAGGCCCTGCACACATGGTCGGCGACTGTCCCTCCCTGTGGGCGGTGCTGACACGTCATCCGCTCCTCCGTGGCCTCTTCTGTGCCAAGTGCAGCAGACCCACTGTGCGCTGGCAAGAACTTGTGGCCTAAGTTTGGGTCTATACCGAAGGCGGACACGACAGATTCTAGGGCTGGTTTTTTTCTTAGTTTGTTCATTTTCCTTTTGAGGATTTAAAATAGTTTTTTATTTGGAAAATTTCCAACATAAGACAAAAGTAGAGAATTGTACAACTATTACCTTAAACAATTTTAGGATGTTTTTATCACCTCCCCCAAAATCCTGCACCCATCAGCAGTTACTCCTCACTCCCCTCCACACACACACATTCACTTGCAACCGTAGGCAGCCACTCCTCTGCTTTTTGTCTGAATGCACGTCCGCTCCGGACGTTCTGTGTAAATGGAATCATGCAGGGCGTGGTTCTTTGGGACCGGCTGCTTCCACTCAGCTCTGCGTTTTCAAGGCTCACCCAGGTCGTGGTGTACACCTCTACTCCTCCTGTGTGCATTCCATGGTGCACAAAGACCGCACTGGGTCTGTCCGCTCACCGGCTGATGGCCATTTGGGCCATTTCTACCTCCGGCGGTTACGTATGATGCTGCCGTGAACGTTTATGTGCGAGTCTTCGTGTGCTCGTATGTTTCCATCTCTCCGGGGCAAGTCCCTAGGAGGAGAATTTCTAACCTTTTGAGGAACTGCCAGCCTGTTTTTCAAAGTGGCTGTGCCATGGTGCATTCCCGTCAGCAGCGAGCCAGGTGTCTAATGTTCCTGCGTCCTCACGTATACTTAGTGTCGTCTGACTTTGAGTCACCGCCGGCCGGCCCAGCGTGTGTGAAGTGGGGTCTCTTCGTGGCTCCTTTTCAGTGAGGAAGGTCCACAGCTCACAACTCATGTGTCCTCAGTATCTTTTCGTCTGTGACTTGTCTGTTTACCTCTTTTATTTTTCCTTGCATTTTAGTTGTATTTTGGTGCTAGTATAAGTGGAATTTAAAAATCTTTTTCTACTATATAGAAATGCAATCGTTTGTATGTTGACTTTGTATCTTGAGATCTTAAAAGGATTAATGTATTGGTTCCAGAAGTCTCGTTGTAGATTCATTACAATACTTTTTAGTATTTTGTTATCATTTCTCTCTTGGCTTTTAGCTATACGTTTTTAAATTTTAGGGGGATATGGTAAAATGATGCAATTTTAACATCACGGTCCCCTTAGTGTCAATGTCACATTCCACGCGAAGGACAGGCAGCTGACAAAAGTGCGGTTTTGCCCCGCCCCTGGGTGTTCTTTTTGTCACGTGTCTCTGCATCTATGCACATTACAGACCCAGTGACACTGTCGTGGTTTTTGCTTTACACAGTTAAATGTGTTTAAAAGAACTAAAAAGAAAGTTTCATATGTGCTGTCTTCGATCCTTTCTGTGGACCCAGGTCCGTTGGACAGTTTTCCCACTCAGCCTAAAAAGATCCCGTCAACCCTCCGAGCAGGCCCATTGCCAGCAGATTCACTTGGATCGAACTTACATGACAGTGTTTTCGTGTGGCCTTTTTTTACAGAGTAGTCTTGCTGAGTCTAGAGTTTCGGGTGGATGGTGTTGCCGTGGCCTTGGTTTCCTGCGGTTTATTTTCAGTCCACTACCTCGCAGGCATTGTTCTGTTGTCCCCGACCAGTCACTTCTGATGCTTAGTCAGCGTCCTTCCTTTCAGCCCTTTGTACAAAGAGCATCCCTTTTCCCTTCTGGCTACTTACAAGAGTTGCTCTTTATTTTGGGGCTTCAGCAGTTTGTGCTCTGCAATAAGTTTTTTGTATTTGCTTGGAGTTTGCCGAATACCTGTATGTTTTTCACCAGATTTGTACATGGTTTTGGGGAGAACCTCAGACACAAAGCCACCCCGTGCCCACCTCTCCCACAGGGCTCCTGTCGTCCCGAGAGTTGACTTCTTTTCACTCTCTGCCTGCTTGTGGCACACGCTCCCCAGTCGTTCACATTACTTTGTTTAGCTTTGGTCCAGATTTTACGATTGTCTCGAGGAGAGTTAGTCTAGCCAAGCCACTCTGCCGTCACCCAAAGCAGGGACCCTTACCCTACTGTATCATGTTTTTTGCAATGAAGAATGTAACGTGCACAGTCATTCATTCCTCTGCAACACTGTTTTTCATATAGGGTTCCGTTCTGTGGGCATAATATAATTTATGTAATCATTCTGCAGAAATTGCAGCTAGTCATGCTTTGCCATTACAAATTACACTGTGGCGAACATCCTTGTAGTTACGCCCATGTTATTCCCCTGGGACGTGACCCCAGAACCGCGGGTCAGCTGTGCCACATTAGGTTTCCCAGCTGTTCTTAGTGTTACTGTACCTTGTATGTTTCCAGGGTTGTTTGTAATAAAATTTGCTTCTAGGTAAGTACATTATGTTTCATTATGTTAATGTTGGGCATGTAAATATTAAATTTTAATAGTATGTACCTTCCCATCTGTAACATTTTGAATCCAACTTTGGGCCTTTCTGGATTTTCTGCAATATTGTTTCAGAGTCCTGTTCGATTTGATACCTTTGATAGCCTTTCACTAAGTATTCCAGCGGCCACATGGGTATGTACTGATCTGCGGTTTATCTGGGGCCCTTGGGGGGCATTTGAAGCTGAAGGGCTGTGAGGCTCTTTGTGTAGCTCCGGGGCCACGTGTTACTCAGACTTGCGATTGGCTGAACCCATCCCAGTTTTAATGTGTGGCACCATGGCCTCGTTTGAGGGGAGAAGAGGTGGGCTGCTTTTCTCTTGCTGCAGAAATTTTGGCTTTTTTGAATACACACACACACACACACACACACACACGCATTAATCTCAAATTAAAAAATACCTAAACCAGGGCAGAGGTCCCTAATTGTCTGCAATATTCCGTCCCACACCCTCGAATCCATCACAGGGCGCTCTGAGCTCCACATTTGCTTGGAGCATCCGGTTGTGTCTGGGCCACTTCTTTGCCCACGGGAGCGGACGGGAAGGCCTGGGATCCACATGGCTGCGCAGTATGGCTCCCTTTGAGTTGTAGTAGTGAGTTTTCCTCTGCTCCCGCTGCAGGGCCACCCACTGACGCTGGACCACTGCCTTCACCACTTCGTCTCATCAGAGTCAGTGCGGGATGTTGTCTGTGACAACTGCACGAAGGTACGCCTCACCCCAAACGCCGCCCGCCCACGGCCTGTGTGCCCGGCCACAGCGTCTCTCCTGCCACTGGCCCTGAGCTCTTCCCACCATTCCCACGGGGTCTTGTCAGCCACAGTCATTTCTACCAGGCTGGTTGGGGAGTTGGCAGCCCATGGGCCGCTCTCCTTCCCTGAGTTTTGTTTCAGATGTTTGGATATCTAAATACCATGCTTTGAGATTGGGCGTGCCTCCCCATTTGCTACAGCCCCGTCCCTTCCCACTGGTCTCACACCCCGCCTTACCTGTGCTGCCTGCCTACCCTCCTCCTAAGCAGTTGGATTTCACCCTCTGAGTTCAGGGGGACTGTGTGGAGCACAATTTTTGAAGACCCAGCAGATGGACTACCTGCCAGTGTCAGAGCCTCTTCATTTCTCTTTCCTCCACTGTTGCTGCCACATAAAAGGAAAATAGTAAAAATGACCCACAAAAAAATTAGGCAGCTGAGTTCACTTCAGCAGGTAGAAGTCAAGGGCCAGTTGAATACAGGTATAAATAACACCAACCTGCTGGGCAACTCTCCCTAGATGTCCTTCCGAGAATTTCAGCAGAGAGATGCTGTTTCTTGTATTTCAGAATGAAGCCAAAGGCACGTTGAATGGGGAAAAGGTGGAACACCAGAGGACCACTTTTGTCAAGCAGTTAAAACTAGGGAAGGTGAGCCCACAGCACATACCTTACCTACTCCATTTCAGAGGACTCTGGGTGGCTGCTCCCGACACTCAGCACTTCCGGTTTCCCCCCCTCCCTCCCCCACCTGCAGCTCCCCCAGTGCTTGTGCATCCACCTGCAGCGGCTGAGCTGGTCCAGCCACGGCACGCCCCTCAAGCGGCACGAGCACGTGCAGTTCAATGAATTCCTGATGATGGACATCTACAAGTACCACCTCCTTGGACATAAGCCTGGTCCGCAGAGCCCTAAACTGAACGAGAAGGCAGGGCCTGCGTTGGAATTGCAGGATGGGCCGGCAGCCCCCAAATCAGGTGTGTGCCCCGGGGCGCAGAGGCTGAGGGGGCCTGCGGCACAAAGCAAGGGAATTTGGCAGCCCCTTTCTGCCAGGAGGGCTTCTTCAGTGGCTGCTGAGGTTCTTGAGAAGAGCAGGATGGGGCAGGAGGGGTGGGCATTCCTTAAGAGGCTAAAACTCTATTCCAGTCATGAGCTGTATGGTTGTAAAAACTATCACAGTTGGAAAATACAAGAAGAGCTTCAGATTTCTGTTCAGTCTTTTGACTAAGCAATAATCGGCTTACATCATCATATCATTCCAGTGAATTTCTTCTCTTTTTCTTCCTAGTACAGTCATCGCCTTGACGCAGAAAATGTGGGGAGGAAATGTCCAAGCTAGGGATCACAGGACATCTTACTGGGGTAGATGATCCTCCTTTATCGATTCATTATCTACTTCCATTACTGTCCTCACTTGAGGTCCCTGGTTGAACTGGGTCCCCAGGGAAGCCAGCATTTACCCTCAGCCTGAGGGGAAAATCAGGGCTTCAAGAGGTTGAAAGATTGGTCCTTGAGCAAACAGCAAATGGGAGAGCTGGCACTGGAAGGCAGTGTCGGGCAGTGTCGTGAAAGTATCTCATATGCCGTGCTGAGACCTTTAGATTACAGGTGAGGGAAACCTGCTGACTTTATGGGCTCCTGTCCTGAACTCACCACCTGCACACTGCTTCCTCTCCAGAAACAGCTGTCTCCCTGGCACCCAGATTTCCCCTGCTTAGCGTTTCTTGCCATTTTATTCTTTTACATCCCCATTTGCATGGCCTGACAGGACGTCATTCAGGGACACTATTTTTGAGCGAGAGCTCAGTCCTCAGCCCATTTAAGTCAAGAACCTCTTCCCACCGGTGGCTGTCTCCCCTGGCGCAGGGCGCAGGTCTGCTCGTACTCAGAGTCGGGCAGCTGCACTGAAGGAGGCCAGCGCTGGGCAGCTCGGTGCTTACAGCCCCCACGGGAGACGCCTGGAAAGAAGACAGATATCTCCACCATTATTTTATCTGCACCCATAAACATCTGTTCACACTGGGACAGGCTGGGATTCCTTACAAGCTGACAATTAAAAAAAGAGAATATTTAGCTCAGTGGCTGGAGACAGGGAGTTTCACCCCCCAGAGGGCACTAGGCAGTGACATTTCTGGCTGTCCCAGCTGAGAGAGAGGGGCGTTACTGGTATTTAGAGGTAGAGACCAGAGATGATGTTAAATGTCCCGCACGGCATAGGATGGCCCCTGCAACAAAAAATTATGCATCCCAAATGTATGTCATGTCAAGGTTGAGACCTGGCTCAGGTCAAAGTGCCAGTCAATTAGCCACAGCTTAACTGACAGGGGTGGTTAGCAAACAGGGATGGGAACCTCATCCCTGTTTTCATCTCAGACTTGCACAGCCGTCAAAGTGAACAGTGGACCAAGTGTTCAGTATGCTTTTCCTATTGGGGGTTAAAACAGGGACAGAAAGGTAGGAAATTTTACAATATAACAAAAGGAAATATTTGTTTTCTCCTTGTAGCATTACTGGGCAGTTAAATTTCAGGGTGACTAAAGCCATGCTCTGTTTACCCAAAGCCACTGCTCATTTTCACTGCCTTGGGCCTTTTTCCTCTTGCAGTTCTGAATCACCCAGGGGGCCCCAAACCCCAGATTTTTATGAACGGTGCCTGTTCCTCGACCGCGTTGCCTACCCTGCCAGCCCCAGTGCCCTTGCCCCTCCCCGTTGTTCCGGACTACAGGTGAGCCGTCCTCACTTCTTGGAGGCTGTTCTGTCTCTTGGTTTACAAAATCACCTTTTCTCAAATGAATGACAATGAAGAGATAGCTTTCTTTCAGTTTGAAGGTGGAACTTACTATTATGCATTATTTTTGTTCAGAATGGAAGTCACTGTATTTTTTTAAATTAATTTTTATTTTTCTTAATTTTATTTATTTATAGACAGGGAGGGAGAGAGAGAAACATCAATGTGTGGTTGCCCCTCACGCACCCCCTACTGGGGACCTTAATGCATGTGCCCTGACTGGGAATCGAACTGACCAACCTTTGGTTTGCAGCTCAGTGCTCAATCCATGAGCCACACCAGGCAGAGCTATTTACTTATTTTTAGAGAGAGGGGAAGGGAGGGAGAGAAACATCAATGTGTGGTTGTCTCTTGCACACCCCCAACTGGGGACCTGGCCCACAACCCAGGCATGTGCCCTGACTGGGCATCGAACTGGTGACCCTTTGGTTCACAGGCTAGCACTCAGTCCAATGAACCACACCAGATAGGGCTGGAAGTCACTTTAAATATAAGCATTATAAAGTACATAAAATTCAAATATATGTGCATTGTATGGATGTGTGGATATATGTGTGAATGTATGTAGAAAAATATAAAGCAACAAATTCTTACTTTCTTGGGCTTCCACCGAGAGATCGCCAGTTAAACCCTTTAGGTCTTTCACTCTGTGAAGCCCCGTGAGTGTGCGCTCGCGCGTGCGCGCACACACACACCCCCACACCCAGAGTGGGCGTCACGCCGGTGAATGTAGGCCTGTGTGTTAGTGGTTTGCAGTATTCATTTGTACAGATGTGAATTGTGTCAACCCCCCGTTGTTGAATGGGATTGTTTTACTTTTTGCTTTTGCCTGTGAACCTCTGTTGTATTTGTAAACGGCTGGCACCTGTCCCTCCCGTTCAGCTCCTCCACGTACCTCTTCCGGCTGATGGCAGTTGTCGTCCACCATGGAGACATGCATTCTGGACACTTTGTGACCTACCGACGGTCCCCGCCTTCGGCGAAGAACCCCCTCTCAACCAGCAACCAGTGGCTGTGGGTGTCGGACGACACGGTCCGCCGGGCCAGCCTGCAGGAGGTCCTGTCCTCCAGCGCCTACCTGCTGTTCTACGAGCGGGTTCTTCCCAAGGTGCAGCCCCGGAGTCGGGAGTACACGTCTGAGGAATGACCGTGCCCCACCCCCAGAGCTAGACCTCATGGCGCTGTCCACTGTCCAGGAGAAAGACTCAGACCGCGTGTGTGCGCATGTGCAGGCAGCCCGCTAGAGTCCTTCAGCCTTCTGGTGTGTGTCCCAAGAGCAGGCTCCTCCAGGGGGCTGGCGGCCCCGACGCAAACCGAATCAGGCCCCTGCACAGCTGTGCTGGTATGCACTGGACAGTGTCGCTGTCGTGTTAGGGCAGCACGCGTTCCGTCTAGAGCATCGTTCCGCTCACGTGATGCAGGTCGTTAGAAGACAGCAGACTCCGGAAGCACCTCTGATATTCTTACAGGAAGGCGTTCTCGGAGGGGCCCCCTGGGTCAAAGCCTCCGATGTTTCTGCGCAGACCTTTGGTTTGTAATGAGCAGGCCCACGTAAAAATTGTTGGCAAGAATTAGTGAAGGTATCCAAGGCAACAATTTAGAAGAAAAAGTGCCTTTCACTTTTGACCACTTTTGTAGCGTGTCCGTTATGGAAAACAGACATTCTCTAAAAGTCATAGGAACAGTTTTTGAAAAGCCCTCTTCTAACTTTCTCAAGGGATAGCAGAAGAACAGTTAACAGATGCCTAGAGAACACCCGCCTTCCTTTTTGTATGTCTTTTTCTAACCTTTTGATCCTTTGTGTATATACATACAGTAAAAGCTCACCTGCCAAATCTGCCCCTCGGGGGAACTCTGTCACTATTTCCTCCTCAGTTCCAAGTGAACTGCTCACTTGCTGCTCTTACCTTTTGTACGCGGGACTCAGAGTTGCGCTGATAGTGTAAATCCCTGTGCACAGCCAGAACTGTACACCTGCGCTTCCTCTGCTCCGCAGAAGCCCTTTCTTACTAACAGCCACTCTGGATGGTTCTCCTCGTCTCTTTGTTCACTGCTCATGCAGAGCTCTTAAGATGTACAGGTGGGGCCGGGGCCGCGTAAGAAGGCAGCCCTGCCTTGGTTCGAGAACTTGACTCAGAAGGAAGGGCGCAACCACAGGGCCACAGCCCCACTGGGCCTCCACTTCCTTGTTTGTGACGGGAAGGGTGAGACTCGATGGCCGTCGAAGGCCAGGCTTCTCCACAAAAAGAAGTTTAATTTATTTGTTACACATACACCTGTACCCGACACCTAGGACTGTTGCTTTGGTATAGGCCCACACTCGTCCCCAGGAGCCTCTAACGCAGAAAGACTACGGTGAGCGCTCTCTTCCCTCTTCAGGTAAGTCTCATGCCTGCAGCCCAGCGCAGGAGGCATTTCGGTGACACAGGAGTTATCTATGTTTTAGCTAGATTTTTGTATTTAAAAAAAAAAGATACCAAATTTGTATGGATTCTTCCAAGATAAGATTTGGAATCAGACCTATCCAAAATGCCTCCCCTGGTGGGGGTGAGCTGGCGGACACTTGTGGATGATGCCTCGGTGTGGGCTGAAAGCACAAGAGGCCCAGGCGGCTGCCATCCCGCCAGGCCCGGCAGGCATCCCGAGAACACGCACACTGGAGAGCCCGTGTGAGGGTTCTGCAGGCCGCGACCACCTGGGGGCAAGGAGCAGCTTGAAGCATCTGACCCGCTCATTGCCGCTCCCTCCCCAATTCTGGCGAAGACCCAGGCTTTGATCTCCAAACGAGCATCCCTGGTTTACCTGAGTCTGGTGGACAGACACCCAATTGTGTGACCTTAAACTGCACCTCAAGGTTGTAGCTTTGAGTACCTGCTGCTGTACTGCTTTGAGATCTGCCATTAAAGGGAGAGACCGGGTGTAGAAGGGGTGGATCCTTGGAACGTGCTGGAAGCAGACTGCTGGCAGAGGCTGGGCTGTGAAAGTGAACAATACGTGTGCAGTCTCTTAACCTGGCTTGAAGCTGACTCCCTGCTTTTGTAAATGATTAGGCACTGAGTAGCAGCCAGATAATCTTATTTCTAGTTTTAAGTTATTTACAAAATAGCTTCTTTTTGCAAAGTCATAGTTTAAAGTAGTAGCTTATGACATAAAAACTGCTGATTTATGTCACTTGCAAAAGGCACCTTTTGTATCTGCTGTGTATTATAGCAATAAAAGCATCATTTTGCTAGGAAAAAAGTCAACTGGTATGCTTTCATCATTTACTGATTTGATAGGAACTTCCTCTTTCCGAATTTTCCATTGTTATGTAATGTTACACCTTTTCTTTCCTCCATGGTAAAGGAAACGCCATCTCTGCTTCTTTGAGTAGAAAGAGGAGGAGAGAAAACAAGCACTCACTGGAAAACCTGTTTACTTCCTAGCAGGCAGAATTTTACGAAAGGTCAGGTTGACGCGCGGAGCCAGAACCTTCTTGCGGACGGGGAGACTGTGATACCAGCAAGAGTTGGTTGGGGGCTTCATCATCAGCAGACTCCCGTGGGCCAGCGGGAGCCTGACCACCTCCACCCTCCGGGTGGGGTTTTTCCCGCGGGAGTCTTTGTGCCGGAAGAAGAAGTCTCTGCAGGCCCCGAAGGAGACGGAGGCGATGGGGCTCCCAGGAGCCAGTTCTCTTTCGTCATCTCGGTGTTCCCCAATGTGGTCACGGCCATCTTTGTACCTGCAGTGAGGAAGCAAGCCCAGGTCACAGAACAGCCCTCCTGAAGCCCACCCGAACCCCAGCAACCTCGTTTCGCACAGCTTGAAGTGCCGCCCCGAGTGGGCCGGGCTTCTGCCAGGCTGGAGGGCCCGCTCTGGCTCCACTGGTGAGCCTTCCCCAGGGGCTGTTCACTTTGTTGGCCAGTCCTGGTTGATTGCGTGCTTTAAAACTCAGCAACCAACAGAAGCCAAAAAAAGTGTCTTCCAGCTCTCCTGGTGCACGTATGTAAACCTTTGTCACTGAAAGTTCCCTCCTTACACCCAGAATAAAACCCACATTCCTTGCACTGGCCCTCGCCCACCTCTGAGCTCATTGACCACACCCCTCTTTCCCTATCTCACGGCTTTCCGCCAGTGTCAGTGGGGTGCCCACTCCACAGATCTCCAAGAGCCCTCTGCTCTTCCTCCCAAATGCTGTGCGGCTCGTGCTCACGCTCTCCATTTCAAACGGCAGCACGCCCACAAGCCCTCCCATCACCGCCATCCCCACACCCAGGGTCCTCAACCAGCGCAATTCTGCCCCACCCTGGGAGTAGGCAATGTCTGGAGACATTTTCGTTGCTCTGACTGGGGAGAGGGTGCAAGTGGCGTCTAGTGGGTCGGGGCCAGGGGTGCTGCTCGACACCCTACACTGCACAGGACAGGCCCCACCACGAAATTATCTGGCCCTAAACCCAGGCCCTTCCGGCCACATTCTCGGTCAGATCAGCAAGACACTCGTCAGTGCCTGAAGTCATCTCATTTGGTGGCTCAGCAGTCAGTCACCTTTCACTCCCCACTGTATGGTGAGGGCTCCAGGAAGACCGTCAGTTTGTGGTACTCCACTGCCATAGACAGCCCCGCTGCCCTGCAGAATTATTTCTTGGGCAAATGAATAAAACACGGGAGAGGCAGAAGACTGATACGATTCAGTGGGGTGGCCTCAAGAAAAAAAGTGAAAAACAAGTAGGGTGTCACCTGTTAACGAGCACGAAGTTGAAGGTCCGTCCAGTCACCAGCGAAACACGATCCCGGACTCGCTCTAGCACCGGGATCCAGGGCTTTGGGGACAGAGTGAGGCCTGAAAACGTGTAGGTCAGCCCGGGGTCACCGTAGGTCGCCTGCTTCCTCGGCACACTGTGCCACTTCCCAAACACCTGCACCTGGGCCAGTGCGCCTGGGCAGATGAAACAGCAGCTCAGAAAACCAGGCACACTCGCTCCCTGAGCATGCGGGATCGAGAGAGAAGTAAAACAGGAATAACGTAAACACTTTTTTTTTTTAATCCTCACCCAAGAACATCTTTTCATTGCTGTTAGGGAGAGAGAGGAGCATCAGTGTGAGAGAGAGGCACCGTCTGGTTGCCTTCCCATATGTGCCCAGGTCAGGGACTGAACTCAAAACCCAGGTGTGTCGTGCCCTGACTGGAAATCGAACCCATGACCCTTTGGCCAGGGGACAACGCTCCAACCAACTGAGCCAACCAGCCAGGGCAGAAATAACTTAATCACCTGACCAAGGACCCCGCCTCAAAAGTCTGTGTGCCTTGCCCAAAATTTTCATGTAAGAACAACGATTCTCATCCTTCCTATACTTAGAAAAACATGGTCCTCGTCCAATTTTCTTTAAAACATAACTTAATTGCCTGAACAACAGTAGGAACAGAATACAGAGGCTGAAATGTGAGCAAGATGAAGTTAGGTGACAGACTAGAGTGACTTCTGCCAACTGTGGGGACTAAGGACATAGGGTCCCATGAAAGATGGGACTGATGGAGCTCATCTGTAGGTTGGGGTCTCCTCGGGCTTCTCTCCGCCTCCAAGTGTGCTGCTGCCTTGCAGTGGTCCTTGTTGTGTGGTCCTCAGCAGCACCCCTATGACCTGAACATGCAGACGTTGGACTGCGGGGGTGGGGCTCAGCAATGGGAGTAAGGTAAGCAACAAAGTCCTCCAGGTGATGCTGAGTATGTGGTGCCGAATTTCCTGGTCATTCGCTGTCTCTCCTACTAGACCAGTGGCTCTTTGCCATGGCTGCAGGTTCGAATCACCAGGAAGCTTTCTAAAAACACCAATACCCAGGCTGCACTTCCCAGCCCTTGCCATTCAATGAATCTCGGTCAGAACTCAGCATTTTTTTTTCAACTTCCCCAGATGATTCTCCCAGAGAAGACTCGCTTCGGTCATCTGTCTGCTCCCAGTGAACAGGTAATCCTGTTTTGTTTTGTTTTTAAGGTCTGTATCCCAAGTACCTAGCCAGGGTCTTGGCCCACAGGCACCAGGAGAATGTGCTGAATCAATTGACAAATTCATCAGTAATTAACGGCCCCCGAGTTCCGATTTCTTGAAACATAAAGGCTAGTTTTATTAAACAAGCCTTCAACACACACCCTGCAGTCCTCTGCTTACCTGTAAAATATTCCACTTCTTGCTCCAACTCCTGGAAAATCTCGTCCGCTTCGGCTTTGCCAAACAGGATTGTGTAATCACAGTCCAGGCCCTCGGACCGAATGTGTTGCCAGCTGGGGCCTGCCAAGTCCGCACCCTTCCCCAGTGGTTCCCTCCTGGGCCTTTTCCTGGTGCTTTCCTCGTCTTCTCCCTGCCCTGCTGGGCCTTTTCCTGCCTGCTCTTGCTCCCTCTTTCCCAAAAGGTCCCCTGGAACCCTCTTCACCAGGAATCTGTCCATCCTGCCTCCACAAAGCAAAGACCTGGGAGTCAGTGATGGGACGAAGAGAGAGAGATTGCCCAGGCTCTGGCCCAGGCGCAGAAATGTGCTCTGTGGCAAAGTGATTCACAGCAGCGTTCCCGCGGATTGTTCTCAGGGTTCCATTTTAAAGTTTAACACCATGTTCTGGAAAGGAAGTAGAGGATTCCTGTTGGAATAGTGGTCCCTGGGGTTATCTGGTCCAGCCCAGCGCCTCCCACATACTTGGCTATGCTCCAATCAGCTGGTTAGCTTGCAAAAGCCCCAAGGCCTGCACTCCACCCCCAAGCACCTCAATTTGTAAAGACACCCCTCCCACGACACGCCCCCACACCCCCACCGAGCTTCCCCTTCGAATTCACACACCACAGTCAAATTTGGAAACTACAATCCAAACCCTCACTTTACAGGGGAGACTGACACCAGAAGGTAGGGGGCTCACCCGAAACCATCCAGGGAAACAGTGTGTATATCTCCCTTTCACCCGTAGCTGACTGTCCCCCGCAAACCATTATTAAAACTGGTAACGAGTATAGTGATCCTCAAATGGATATGACTCTGAATCTACGTGTAAACAGTTAAACGCGATCCATGGGCAAGCATGGGGAATTCTGATAGAAAAAAGAACTGAGATACGTGCGTGAGGTGGGGGTGGCGAGGATCCTCTTTAGAATCCCCCCCACAGTAGAAATGGGGGTGGGAAAGAGAAAACGACTCACAAGGGCCGCAGCAGTGCTTCCGGGTAAATCCCCGCAGCACGCTGGGAAATGCAGGCAAATCCGAGACACAAGGCGGTGGGCGGCACTCTGGCGCCACCTATTGGCCTCCTGGGTGTGTTGCAACCACTACCGTGCGTTGAGTTTAGTGTTTATTAGCAACCGTTGAGAATCATCTGTGGTGGGGGGCTGTTGTTCGGTGCACCTCTCCCTGGGAGTTAGGCCACGAGCATCCTGTTGCAGGTAGAAGCACGAGTCCTAAAGTCCTACCCTGTGGCTTCCATTTCTATCCCCTCCACTCTAGCTGTGTGGCTCCTACAGGTTATTTACCGTCTCTGGGCTTGAATGGCCTCATCGGTATACTGGGGACTATAAAACCTGTGCTGTGAGAGCACCGTGAGGCTTGAGAGGACGTGTGCAAACTGCTTTCATGTTCCAAAGGTCAGGTTCTAGTGCTGCTCCTAATCTTGGTTACTGTCTGTCTCCTACAGTGGAATGAAAGCTCTACAAATTCTGGCTTTGTTAGGAATCTTCTTCATGTGCCGTCCTGCAGATTTACACAAACGTACACAATTGTGTGTCCACCACCACAGTCTAGATCCGGAACAGTTCCATCACCCGGCCCACAGGGTTTCGCCAAGCCCCCAAATCACTGATGTGTTTTCTGTCTCTATAGTTTTGTCTTTTCTCGAATTCACTAATAAAGGAAATCATACAACATACAGCCTTTTGGGTCTGGCCCCTGTCGTTTAGCATAATGCTTTTAAGATGTACCCTTGTCGTTTGTATCAGTTGTTCCTCTGATTGCTGAGTAGTTTTCCATTGTCCTAGTGCCCCACTCTCTACCCATGGAGGGACATTAGGGTTGATTCCACTTTAGGTCAATTCCAGATAAACTCCACCCCTGAAGAAGCTTTTGTGTGAACGTAGATTTTAATTTCACTTGCGTAAATACCTAGGAGCGTGATTGCAGGGGCACCTATAAATGTTTGTTTTATTTAATACGAACTGCTGAACCGCCTTTTCAATGCTTCCAGATAGAGGGGCGATTCGTGCAAGGGTGTAAAGGCCACACAAGGGACAAGCTGGTTATGTCCAGTGAAGGCTGGAACCCGGAGTCGGTCCTGCCACCATAGTGGGGGCTTCTGTGAGGGAGGGAAGCAGCCCTGCCAGCAGAGCAAGAAGCTGGCATTTTATTCTAAGTATACTTGGAAGCTGCAGGATTTTCACCTGGGGGGTATCATGATACAATTTGCATTTCAGTCAGATTACTTGGTAGGAAAGAGGTGACTAGCTGGGATTGTAGCCAGGAGATGGAGAGAGCAGCCGCTGAATTCAGAGTTTATTTTGGAGACGGAACCAAGAGGACCTGTTGATGGTTTGGATGTGAGGAGGGAGAGACAAAGAAGAGTCCCAGGTGTATTAAGGGTGAGGGAGTGCTTTTCGGAGGATGACTAGTTTGAAGTTTAACCTTTACGAACTCAAATCTCCCCCAAACCTTGCAGGTTAAGGCAAAATGTTGGACCGTTCTTGGCCTTAGTTTGCTGTCAGTAAAATGAGTTGTGAAAATGGGGTGAGATAAGGTAGTATCTGAGCCCAACAGATGCTATTTTAGTGCTAATTTCACTCCCACAAAAGGCACTTTTATCTTTTTTTTACAGCCGAGAGAAGCAGGGACTTGCCCCAAGACAGAGAGGTGTGTCCTGAAAGAGTAAATAAATGAGAGAACCTACCCTGCCCCCAGCAGCCCCTCCCGCACATGCGCACTAGGCCTTCCACCGCCCCCTGCCCAGCCCACCCCCTGGGTTGGAGCATGCGCGAGCAGATTGGCGCCAATTTCGTACCGCCACTGTTTGCGCCAGCCTTGTGGGTCCTCGGGCGGCGCCTGTTCTCTTCCCTCTCGGCCTCGGGATGATCGGCCAGAAGACTCTCTACTCCTTTTTCGCCCCGAGCCCTGCTAGAAAGCGACGTGTCTGTAGCCCCGAGCCGGGCGACTCGGGGACCGGCGTGGCGGCGGTAGCTGAGGAGAGCCTGGATGCAGCGGTGAGGCACGGCGGAGACTGCCTGCGGAGCTGGGGAAGGGGGAATGGGGAGGGAGGGGCCAGGGAAGGGGGAAAGGAGAGAGCGGGCTCCGTACGACCGAGGAGCTGCAGAAACGTGCCCCAGACTTAGAAAGCTGAGGTCCCGGTTCAAAATAGCCGCCTCAGTGCTCCGGCGGCCATGCTAAGAAGCCAGCCAATGGGGGCGAGCTTTGGGGCCCACGATACCAATCAGAAACCAGGGGGCTGCCCTCCTTGCCCCTCCGTCCAATCTGAGGGAGGAAAGGGCGGGCCTTCGGGAGGAGGGTTTTTGCCGCGAAAAGACCACATGGGGTTGAGTGTGGCGGGTCCGGCGGGGCGGAGCTTCTTGTTACATGGCTTCCGCTACCCTGAAGTGATTCTCTCCGCCCGGTTTTAGTACCAAACGCGTAACTGGGGGACGACGGCCTGGTTTTCCAGAGTCCGGTTTTGCACCAACATTGCGAGTGGAGCTGAAACCCACGAATGGGTGTCCTCTTCTTTGGGCCTTTGGGGTGGGGGCGAAGCCTGCTGGCTCCTGCGGGAGGTCCCTTGAAGCTTGTGACCCGTCTCTGCCGGGACCACTTGCAGGCTAGCCCGGCCAAGAAGGCCCGGGCAGAGGAGGAGGAGCCCGGCACACCGCCCTCATCGCCGCTGAGCCCCGAGCAGTTGGTCCGCATCCAGAAGAACAAAGCCGCGGCCCTGCTCAGGCTCGCGGCTCGCAACGTGCCGGTGGGTTTTGGTGAAAGTTGGAAGAAGCACCTCAGCGGAGAGTTCGGGAAACCGTATTTTATAAAGGTAAACAAGCCTGCGGACCCTTTGCCTTGTTAGTATAGCAGGCAAAGGCCACGTTTCTAGGATATTACTTTCATAGTTTCCTATTTTACCTCCCTTAACGTCTATTCCACGCTGAGGGGGTAAAAGAAAACCATGGTGTTTGAATGCGCATATTTATGTTAAAATGTTTAAAAGATTAAGGTGATAGGGTTTCTTTCAGTGCATTTAGTCTGTTTTCCAGGAAAGTGGCAGAGTAAAACCACAAATACAAACCTAGCTGCAAGAAAGCTGGCCCCGCCTTTGAAAGGGGGGAGGGGTTGGCAAAACAGGAAATCGAGGCGTCTAGGCCAATCAGCTTTAACCCAGCCCAAAGAAAGAGGGAGGGAGTTGAACAGATTGAGTAAATTTTGTCTTTTCTTTTGCAAATGAATTGATATAAAACAAGAAAGCTAGGTGATGCTTCAGCTAACTTTCCTATTGAATTCGTATGCTTTCCACTGAGAATCTGATTTTCAGTCTAGCTTCTCTTCAATCAGCTAATGGGCTTTGTTGCAGAAGAAAGAAGGAATTACACTGTTTATCCACCCCCACACCAAGTGTTCACGTGGACACAAATGTGCGACATAAGAGATGTAAGTACAGGTTGTGGATCAATTTTAGTAAGAGTGGGGTGGGTATTAAATAGTATTTCTTAATTAGTCACATCAGTGTCCATAATTCAGTGATAAGTAAGATACTAAAACTGTGAGGTTTGTCAGGCTGTATTTTAACCTGTTTTACTGTTTTTTCAACTTCTGCCCCGTGTCTGTGTGCTCTCATTTCTTATATGTTATTTAATCCTGAAACGCACCCCAGGCCTGTGTTAAGTAGTGCTGCAGTGGTGAGGAGGAAACAGGCACAGAGCAGTGACATCTTTGTCACCTGGTTGTGGTCAGCCCTGCCTCAGCTTGCAGCTCTGCGGTCTCTCTGTCTTGCCTCGCTATCTTTTAGAGCTGACGCTTTCAGTCTCTTAATTTCTGTCCCAAACAGTTTTGCTGCCCTGGTAACAAATCCCTTTGCTTTGGTTCCCTGTGCACAACGGCTGCTGCCTGGGGGCTGTGGTCCTGCCAGTCTCCTGCTCAGAAGCTGGTCTGTGGCTTCCCACTGTCTGAACTATCAAAGATGAACATGAACATGGCTGCATCCTGCTCACCAGCCTTGCCACCGCCTCCCGTTTCTTGACATCGGAGTTGAGCAGTGTGGCAGCCCGAGCCTCGCTTCTGTCTTCTGACAGCCCATTAGATCTATGGCGCCTCACTGGAGCCTGTTCCACCACCTTTGTGACGTGGTTTTCCTCTCAACTCCCCAAATATGTAGTGTCTGCTTGCACTGGAGGTTTTTACATTTTGCTGTTACTCCTTTCCCTCCCGCATTTGTAAGTCGAGAGCAGGGATCCTGTGATTTAATAAGAATATCTGTTAAATAGTGAAATAGGTGAATAAGCCATCTTGATAGGGTGACTATGCCTAATACTTAGCGAACTCCGTTTAGAGTTAGGACTTTGGATATACCTCCATGTTTCTGAAGTTAAAAAACAAAACTCAGTCCTAAATTCAGTACTGTTTTGCACCTTGTTTGAATAGCATGTCCTGTTCTGAATACCAGGGATCGACAGAAATAGGGGAGAATAAGAAAAAGCATGAAACTGAGGATCAGGCAGCCCAGTGTGGCTTCTTTGCAAAGGAGCAAGTGGAGGGTAGGGGTGGGAGGGTTACCTGGCTCCTCCCAGCTGTCCCTTTCCCGGGACCAGAACTGAAAAGCTTTCCTGCTGGGACAGGTTGCTGCATGCTGGGCACCATGTGAGCCCCAGCAGTAGGAAGGGAGAAGCCCTGTGAAAGCTCCCTGCTGAGCGGAGCCTCTAAAGCGGGAGGATCTGGTGTGTGCCAGCAGTGGGAGGAGATTCCAGGATGGCAGGTACACCTTGAGCAGCAGCATAGGGGTGAACAAGACGTGGGTGGCCTCCAGATCAAAAGGACTAGCTGTGTTTTAATGTCCCTGTGACAGTGGCCTAGTTACTTTTCACTGCATCTGCCACCCACTCCCCGGGCTCTTTGGCCTGGCCTCCTTATCTTCTGGTTTCCTACCTCGGTGTGTGTAGGGGAACAGGCACCTTCCTGTGCCTCTGGTGAGGAGTTTGAGTTGCTCTAATTTGTTGAAAAGCAATTTAGGGTGTGTCTATGAAAACTTTTAACATACTCTTACCCTTTGGCCTTCAACCCACTGTTAACAAATATTCTGTAGAAATAAAGGCAACAGTGTGGAAAGATACATGTACTAGGGTGTTTACTGTATAACTTTTGGTAATGAAAGAAAAAGTGGAAAACAAGCTGACTGCCCATCAGTGACTGAACTCTACGACTTGAGGGGTACCCAAAATGTGTGATGTGTGAAACAAACGTGGGGTAGTGAGTACAATAACCCCAACTCTGTAGGTAATTACACTGGTTGAATGTGAACGGGATAGGGTGCCTGGGAGATCGCCGGGTACTTTGTATGTTTCTGGGTGGTAGTGCTTGTTTTCAAGGATGTATTTCAAACGAAGTTGACCCTAACTGTCAGAAGGGAGGGGGCAGTATGGTGGGTGGTCAAGTGAAGGAGGATTTGGTGATGGGAAGTAATGATGTCCCCTCACCCACTGCTTTCCTCTGGCTATTCTCAGTTGGGTCAGCAGGCGGGCTGCCCTTCTCATTGTCTTGTCCCCTTGTGTGGGTCATCGGTCAGCCAGGTGCTCATCTGTGCTGCTTGTACTGGAATATTGTTTAATTTGCCTCCCGGTGTTTGCAGGTGAAGGTTGTCATTCTGGGACAGGATCCATATCACGGGCCCAGTCAGGCTCATGGGCTCTGCTTCAGTGTTCAGAGACCTGTTCCACCTCCGCCCAGGTATGATTGGTTGCTCTGGATGGCTCGGGTTTGTGTGCAGTTACTTTCAGATGTTTACTTTGCAAATGACAGGCAAGCCTATTATTTGGGGTGACTTGCACTAGCTTTCAGAGCAGGTTTCTCTATATGTTTCTCTTTTTTAAAGATTTTTTTAATTTATTTTTAGAGAGAGACAGGATGGGAGGGAGAAAGCAAGAGAAACATAGGTCAGTTGGTTGCTTCTTGCATACACTCAACTGGGGATCTGGCCCAAAACCCAGGCATGTACCCTGACCAGGAATCGAACCAGGGAAGGGCTAGAGCAGATTTCTGTCTCAGCACTGGTGTCGTGGGGGGAAGGGTTGGTCCTGTGCACTGGAGGGCGTTCCACGGCACTCATGGCCTGCACCCACTTGACACCAACAGCACTGGCCCACTGGAACCAGAGGGTTCTAACAAAATGGCAATGGAAGGTGTCCTCACACGTTGCCAGGTGTCCCTAGTGGGACAGAAGTCACCCCTGCTTAAGAACCACTGCTTTAGAGGATTTTTATAAATATATAGAGATATAAGACTGACTAAGCATCCACTGGGGGATAGGGGAGTTGTAACTCTTGGGCCAATTTATTTAGGTCTTAAGTACAGTTCCTTAAACAGACCAGAATGAAGGACTTAGGCAGAAGGAATGGCTGTATTTCCTCTGAATCAGTGTGTGTGCTTTTCTCCCCTCAGGGGCTGGCTTTTTAGGCTATAACTTAACATGTTGAGAGGTTATTGAATTTTCAGAATTGTGCTTAAGATCGTCTCTTTCCTTCTGGCTTGCTTTCAGCTTGGAAAACATTTATAAAGAGCTGTCCACAGACATAGATGGTTTTGTCCATCCTGGTCATGGAGATTTATCTGGGTGGGCCAAGCAAGGTAAAACCATCACTGCCGTATATCTCGCAGGCTGGGCTGGCAGGCCTTTCCTTTCTGTCTATTTCTGTTTGTAAAAGGTGGTTTTGGAGAACAAGAGTGCCCCGAGTCAGGAAATGTATCTCCGTTGTGTCCTGCGGCCCATGTTGTCTTTCATGTTCTCATCGTAATTTGGAAAGTGCGTTCCTCATTATTATTTGTCGTTTATCCACTTAGTCTAACTTTGACCATTTAGAAGGTGGCCTCCACTTTTTGTCACTTAAAACGTATGTTGTATTGTGTGTGTTAAATATGTATCTATGGACTTTCTTAACAAATAAACTGTAACTAAGATAAAGAAAGAATAGTTACTCTTTGGTTTCTTACAGTTAGATTTTTTTTTCCGATGAAACACTACTTTTGTTACTTTCTGGGGCTAGTTAATGTCACTTAGGGGATACTGTTTGAGAATTCTTTCTGATTCTTTTGGTGATAAGTCATTTCCATTCACTGTTGCAAACTTGGAAGATGTTGAAAGTGCAGAGGTGAGAGCTGGTTGCCCTCTGATCTCACCGAGAGGTGCCCAGCAGTCTATTGTGTAACACTTTCTCTATGAGAATTTCAGACGCCGCTCTGGATTCCATTCTGAGAAAGGTCTCCTTGGGTGTCAAGCTGGCTCGTTGCAGCCTGCCTTTAACCTGTTTCTTCCATGTGTTCGTAGGTGTCCTCCTACTCAACGCTGTCCTCACAGTCCGGGCGCATCAGGCCAACTCTCATAAGGAGAGAGGCTGGGAGCAGTTTACGGATGCGGTCGTGTCCTGGCTGAACCAGAACTCAAGTGGTCTTGTGTTCTTGCTCTGGGGCTCTTACGCTCAGAGGAAGGGCAGCGCCATCGACCGGGTATGTGGTTCTGAGCCATTCAAACCAGTTGGGAGAATTCTAGGAATTCTTGCAGTGTGGTCCTAGAAAACTTAACATCTTCCACATTCGTTTTCCAAGCCAAATTTCCCTTTCCTCATCCATCACTCATTAAACTTACTCCTCTGAACTACCCAAAGATAAAAAGTACCATCTACCCGGTTGTTCAGCCAGAAGTCAGATACCATTCATAACACCTCCCTACCTCTGTCTTTTTCCCCCGCTTCTCCCTGTACCCTTCCCATATCCAGTCATTCATTCAGCCTTCATTCTCTCTTCACTGTTGCTCAAACCCTGCCCCACCCGAAGCCTTGGTTTAGGCCGCCTCTGATCTTGCCTGGGGCATTCAGGTGCTGCCCTGTCCCGGAAGGCCCTGACTCAGGCTGGCAGGCTGGGGTCCCACGTTGGGCATGGCCCTGCTCTGCCTCTCAGCCACAGCTCCCCACCTCTCTCAGCTCTGGGCTGCCTGTGCCCCCTCAGCTTGGTTCCCTGTGCCCCGCTTCCCTGCCTGCCTTTGAGCACCCTACTGCCTTTGTCCTGAGTGTAGAGGTCTCTCCCTTCCCCAGAGGCAGACCAACACGTCCCTCAAAGAAAGCTCAGCACAGCCCCCGTTTCCATGACGGGGCCCGTACGCCATGCCAGACAAGGTGCCGGTGAGCACTTGCGTTCCATTACCCCTCCTGCCACTCTGCACCTGCAGTCATCCATCGGTTCTCTTGCAGTAACTAGAAGCTAGGCGCTGATGATATTTCTAATTTACAGGTTAAAAAAAAACAATAGCCTCTTAGGGGGGCTCAGCAACTTCCCCGTGGCTGCACAGCTAAGTGGCAGAGCCAGGACTCAAACCCAGGCTGTCCACCTCCAGGCTCTGTGCTCTGGACCACACTGGGCTGCCTGGCTCTGTTAGGGCCCCTCCTGGACTGAGCAGCCCAAAGGCAGGGATGTTTGAAAGCAATGATTTGTTAGGTGGTTTTTATTCAAATACAGAAAAGAATAAAGAAGAAAACAAAAGGTCTGGCACCTTCCTGTTCAGGTAACGACAGGTGGCATTTTAAACTTAACGTGCTCCACTTGCTGGTGAGACCATTTGGACAGTAACGAGAGGCACGGCTAGAAGTCAGTGCTTTCTACTGTTTCTTTTCCCTGGAACAGCTAGTACAAATAGTGTTTAGGGTATTTATCCAAAAAAAATGTTTTTTGGTGCAATTACCTTTTTTTTCCACTTGATATATTTTGAAGGTCTTCCCTAATGAGCACATGTAGTGTGGCCTGGTTCTAGTGGCCACTGTAAGAACCTCAGAAAAATATTTCTGGTCAGTTGCATAACACTGGACTCACATTAGTTGTCACCCAGATGAGCAGGGCTACCGTGGACCTCCTTGACCCCACGTCTTTGTGTAGGTAGAGGCCTCGTGGGGTCCTTTAGCACATGTGTTCTCAGCAGTGCAGTTGCAGGATCCTATGATACGGCACTTAAAAATGGCATGGGCAGCGCCAAGTTGGAGACTGAGAGGCAGCTTCTGCAGCCCCTGCGCATAGCAAAGGTCATGCCCCACAAAGGAGTGAGCATGCGCACTGGTGCTCTGGGGGTGAGCGCTGAAGGCAAACACACACAGAGAAGTGGGACGGTTTAGAGTGGGCAAAGGGAGCGGCATACCTGCCCACAAGCGCAACGGCCAAGGAGTTCCAGGCGTGCTCCCTCTCAGCCACGCTCTCATTCTCTTTCAGAAGCGCCACCATGTGCTGCAGACCGCCCACCCCTCCCCGCTGTCTGTGTACCGCGGGTTCTTTGGATGCAGGCATTTCTCTAAAACCAACGAGCTGCTGCAGAAGTCTGGCAAGGAGCCCATCAACTGGAAGGATCTGTGACCTTGAACTGGTGGGGTGTGGTGGTCTCCAGGCAGTTTCTAGAAGTTTGTCAGTGACGGAGTCAAATCGAAAAAATAATTTCCCTGGTGATCCTTAAGCATTCTGTGTATGGGAGAGAAGGTTTGGGTAAAGTGGGCACCAGCCACACTGCCCTGGATTGGCAGCTCTGTCCAGCAAGACTGTGACCACGTCCATCTCTGTGTTGTGGCTTTGGCCTAGGTTATGCAACAAAGTTCTTGGAAGGGAGAGGGGCTCACATACTTGACTCTCCTTCTCTCCTCTGCTTTATAGTTAGAGATGGGGAGATTGGCACCTTTTTGGTATGTATAATTCGCTGCTACTTGTTTTTACCTGTAGGTTACACTTTAGGTTATAAAATGTTAGGTGTTTTTATTTAGAAAGGTTCCCTTTGCACATCCTGGTGGTCCAGTCTGGGCCAGTTTCCTCCTTGAAGGAAATAGGATTTTTTTTTCCTTCCCCCTCTCTCACCAGTTGCCAGAAACCTAGGGCTTGATTTCCTGATGGTAGCAATACGCAGTGAGCCTTCAGACAGGCAGAGGCCAAGAGAAGTGGGCGGATCTTGTTTATACGGCTCTGAGTGTTTCTAGGAATGAGCAGTAGAAGTTGAACCAGGAAGGAGGAGAAAGGGGAATTTTTTTAAATTTTGTATTTTTTTTAGAGAAAATATTTTCCTTTTCTCCCAGGTGTATCCTGAATTTGGTTTTTAAGGCCGCATAGTGCCAGGTGCTGTTTTATAGGGGCCGAAATCACTTTGGGGTGCCTTCTGCAGCGCTGGAGAACTTCGTTTTGTGGGTTTTTTATACTTATGCAGATGTGTATGTGTATTTTTTCAAATCCTTTGGTGAAGAGATGATCTTTAGGTCTGCACGTCCATCTCAGATCCTGCTAGAAATGCTGTTTTGCTGTTAGCTGGGTTCAAAGTTGAACCTGGTAGGGTTTGGAAATAAAAGGTTTTTGAAGTTTCACTTTGTGCAGAGTGCGCTTTAATACTGAGTGCCCTTCGCCAGCCTGCTCCTGAGCCTGGGCCTCGGAGGAAGCCCTTGGGCTGCCTTTGGGCTCTGGTTGCCGTGGTGACCATTGTGGGTGGAAGGGCCGGCTCCACTCTGCCCTTGCTCCTCCGGACCCTGGGATGAAGCCTCCCACCCCTCTGCCAGGCTTCGTCAGCGCTGAGCTGGGTTCCAGGGAGGGGTGCAGCTCACCCTGGAGTGCTGTGGGGAGTCTAGACCAGTCTGGGTCTGCTGAGACCCTTAAGGGGCCACTAAAGCCAGAACACATTTCTGCAGGGATCTTGGCATTCCTGGCAGTGCTGTGTCCTGCCAGGTCCTGGGATTGTGAGAGGGGAACTTCCTACCTTCCCTGTGTTAGCGTTTGCAGATGGTCCGGGGAAATGAGGTGAAGTGGGAGGCAGGTTGCTGGAAGGGCACCGCCATGGCCCATCAGGATGAAAAGCTGGGTGGATGCCCCAGGGGTCAGAAGGCTCCATAACACGTGTGCCTGTATTTAAGACTGTTAGCAAGAAGGCCAACCTGGAGAATCCCAGATGTCTCTAAGAAAGCAGGATGGTCTTTCCTAGAGGGGAGATAGAACAAAGATACAGCCTTCATTTGCCCCCTGGTACCTTGGGCTCCTCCCTCAGCATTCCAGTGGGTTGGTATTTCTGAGAAGTTGGGTTTTGGCACCTCCCTTCCCCCCATTGCTGTGAGGGGCAGAACTCAGTAAGTGCTGAGTTACCATAAAGAATTGGAAAAGCATTTTCAGAAGTAAATTGAATCTTTGTAGTGCCCATGTAAACAACAAAGAGTGGTGTCTTAAATGGTATGTGACTTCTCTCCCCCCCCCCCCCCCCCCAATAATGCAAGCTTAGCTTAATCACTGAGGTTTGGGGAACAAGACTCCCGGTGAACTTTCAGCTGTGTAGTTGTCAATTTTTGCAGTTTTTCAGATTAGTTACAATTAGCGTGTGGGGTGTACCCCAGTGAAAGGCAGTCTTGGCCCTTTGGGGCAAGGGTCAGCATAAGTTTTCTGTAAAGGGTCAGGTAGTATGTATTTAATTAAGCTTTGAGTCATCCCCTCTCAGAGCTACTCAACTGCTATAGAGAGAGAGCTGCCACGTGCAAAGTAAACAGGTGTGGCCGGGTGCCAGTAAAAGTTTGTGGACCCTGAAATTGGGAGGTGATGTGATTTGCACGTGTTGTGAAATCTCTTAGTTTTTTCAAGCACTTAACAGACATCTAAACCACTTTTGTTCGGGAGCCATAGGAAGACAGGCAGCGCAGGTGCCATTTGCAGACAGATCGACCCATTCCAGGGGCTCCTGCTCAGACGCCAGCAATGAGAGCCCGGCTGCTGGGTCCTCGCACCATGTACGCAGCTCTGCGTGGCTCGCTGCTGTGGGAGCAGCTGAGAACCTGGCCAAGAGTGATTGCTGTCCCCCACCCTCAGCCACCCCACCTCAGGCATGGGGAAGGGGGGCTGCCGGCACAAGGAAGTCAGTTATGCAAAATGTGCTGGGAACCCCAAGTTATAAAATAACCATGTGGAAGCCACTATCAGTGATCGGAGTCCAGCAGGGCAAGGTGGCGGGGGTGAAGCATTTTTATAGACCTCAGCACGTCATTAATATGCTTCCATCATTAGATAAGATAACACATTTTTTTCCTTTTAAAAACTCACTTTCCTGCTTCAGTTGGCTCCTGGTGTAAAAAGTCTTAGGAGGGTTTTGGACTGGAGAAGCAGACTCGCTGGTGTGCCTGTGTGTGGTGGCGGCTTTCTATCTTGTCAGGGCTTAGAGATATGCGAGGTGTGGGTGCTGGGCCATTCCAGAGGGTCCTGGGGGGGGGGGGTTTGCCTGGCAGCGACTCAGGCTGATAACAGACCGGAAGAGATGCTGGCTGGAGACGGCCTCCTGTTCAGGGTAGAGTTACCTGTTTGTTGTCTCAGTTGGAACCAGCTTTTACATTTTTGAGGCATGTTTGGAAATGCAGACACGGGGGAGTAGGGATGGCTGGGCGCTTAGGACTTGGAATTCTTGGCTCGTCGGCCATGGGTTTCCTGTGTCCTCGTATTTGGGGCCACAGACCAGGGGGTCCAGGGGCTTGAAATAAGCAAGTAGTACTTAAGTTTGGTGGGAGAAGTTTGTGAATGGCTTTGGTTTCAAGCCTTTCATTTGGCTTTTAGAAACCTATGCCTTGCCCTGGCCGGGTAGGTCATTTGGTTAGAGCATCATCCCGATACGCCAAGTTTGCAGGTTTGATCCCCCACTCAGGGCACAGACAAGAATCAACCGATGAATGCATCAATAAGTAGAATAACAAATCGATGTTTCTCTCTCTCCCCCTTCCCTAATATTACAAAAATAAATAAAACCTCTGTCTTAGCCTCAGAGAAGAGCTGGGCCACCGGAGGAGTCTATCAGAGCACGTGTTGGGTGTGTTTCTAGTCCTTTTGAAAGTGAGGCGTTTCGTTACATTTTTTTAAGTGCCTGTCATAAGCAAGTCACTATGCTAGAACCTCACCCTGTGTTGTCTCCTTTAACTTTCTTACCCAAGTAGGAAGTCATTGGGTGAGGAAACCCATTCGACCATTTGCCCAGCACCACAGGTAACAGGGCTAGGATTCAAACCCACACCAGCCTGGTTTCAAAGCCCAGTAGTTAGCCCTGGCTGGTGTGGTTCAGCAGATTGAGCACCGGCCTGGGAACCAGAGGGTCCCCTGTTTGATTCCTGGTCAGGGCACATGCCCAGGTTGCAGGCCAGGTCCCCAACAAGGGGCGCATGAGAGGCAACCACACATTGAAATTTCTCTCCCTCTCTTTCTCCCTCCCTTTCCCTGTCTAAAATAAATAAAATCTTAAAAACAAAAGCCCAGTAGTCTTGTCACTGTAGGAGTTTACATTTTTCCTTGACTCAGATGGCTCTTCTAGGACACACGGGACCACCCACTGTGGTGTGAGGATCGCAGGAGCCGCCCTAGAGGGACGTAGCCTTGACACGTAATCAAACCACACTCACGGGGCTGCCTGCTGCTTATCAGAACCTTGAGGCATTGTGCTAAGCCCTTAACCTGTACTGTTTCGTCCTCAACTACAGAGTGGATGTGGCACTATCCCAGGTGGTGGCTGATGACACCGAGGCTTCAGGAGGGCACAAGAAGTGGGCTGCCTACTGAACAGTCCAGTGGAGAAAATCCCAAGAGGTCCACCCCTGCATGACTTTTCCATCTTTGAAAACAAGTCCGCAGGTGAGACAGCACTCCCAGCAGGGTGAGGGCTGCACCTGGCGCTGCTGCCCTGTAAACCCTTTTTGCATAAGCTCAGCCCTCTTGCTGTTTTTTCCACTTGCATCCTGGTTTTGTGGAGCACAGTGCGCTTTTGTGTGGCCTCTGCTTTCCTGCCGCCCGCTCCGGTTTGGACCTGGAGGTGACCTTTGTCCCACATGCCACCAGCCGTCCCCATGTGGCAGAACATTCTGTGACTTTTGGGTCTCTGCTCCCAGCCCCAGCAAGAACAAGTGGGAATGGCGCTGGCATTGTTTTTCCTTAAGGTCTCAGAAACAGGAAACATTTCCTTGACTGGGGTTTGCATTGAGAAGTTTTGACCAAAATCTTCCCCAGGGAGAAAAGCCAGGTGATCTTTTGATATGGATCACCTGGGCCCATTCACACACCGGGGCCTTGTTCCAGGAGCCATTTCTCAATGAACAACCTGCACTCGGTGAATTTTCAGCACATCCTAGGAGGACCTGCGTGACTTTGCATTGCTCACAACTTGGATTTTAGTACCTGGAGGCTTAGTTGTCTAAGATTCTTGAAATAAAGCAAGCAACAGGATCAAAAGGTGGAAAACGCTTTGCTGGAAGCAAGATCCTCCCCCACTTGACCTGGATTATTGCTGCTCTTTGGTGCCTTGAAGGTTAAGTGCACCCGGGGTATTTTTAAACTGGCAAGAGCCGGCTAATCTAAAAGTGACATTTACAGGCACGGCGGGAGCAGCTAGCCGGCTGAGCTTCAGGCCCTCCGCAGACAAGGAACCTGGACAATGTAATCCCAAGTACACAGTCAGTTGAGAGGACATGGGGAAAGAAAAGGTGGAGAGAGAAGTGGTAAGTGAGGTTGTCCCTCCCTGGGGTCAGGGACTTAAAGCCAGCGGCGAAGTGAATGGGATGTCCCCCTCTACAAATGTGTGCCTGTGAGCTTCGGGGGCGGGGGCAGGGCAGGGCAGCATTCTGGTTCTGTTTGTGGGAAGCTGATCCGAAGGGCTCTGAATGTAACACCGGTGAAGGAGACTGGTCTTTCTTCGCTTCTATAAATGGTTATGTTGCTGGGAGTCCCTGTGCAAACTCCTTAGTTCCACGCACTGAAATGGTTTAGGTTTTAGGTTTACTTAGAAGGCAGGTCTGTGATTTTTTTATTTTGTTGCCCAAACTTTAAAAAAATATTTATTCTTAGAAAGATGGGAAGGGAGGGAGAAAGAGAGGGAGGGAAACACGGATGTGTGAGAGATACATGGACTGGTTGCCTCTCACAGGCCCCCCAACTGGGAACCTGGCCCGAGACCCAGGCACATGACCTGATTGGGAATCAAACCAGTGATGCTTTGGTTTTCAGGCCAGAACTCAATCCACTGAGCCATACCTGCCAGGGCTCCAACTTTTGTCTTAAGGGAAAGTATTCTGTTTCTCAAACTGGATTGTGTTTTTAAAAAGCAGACTCTGCCCTGGCCTGGTGGCTCAGTTGGTTGGAGTGTTGTCCCCTTACACCAGAAGGTTGCGGGTTCAAGCCCTAGGTCAGGGCACATTCCTAGGTTGTGGGTTCATTCCCCTATTGGGGTGTGTAGGGGAGGCTGCCAATCAGTGTTTCTCTCTGACATTGATGTTTCTCTTCCTCCTTCTCTCCCTCCCCCTCCTCTAAAATCAATGAACATATCCTTGGGTGAGGATTAAAAAAAATTTTTTCAAAGGAGACTCTAAGAGTAAAGCATTTATAGTGTTTCTATGTTGCTAGAAAGACATAGTTTTTCTCTAATTTTTGAAAAATCCAGTTACAAACTGAAGGACGGAAGAAGCGCAGAGGAGCGTGGGGCGTCTCCTTGTGCCATCCCTCCGTCCGCCTCTCCTCCTCTGGGAGCTGCTGGGCACGTTGGGTGTAGGACTTCCCAGGCCTTGTGTCCTGGATACGTCTTATTCTTTGCATTCACCTGGTACGTAACTGCCTCTTTTCACACTGATCATTATTATTTTAACATAAATGGGCTTCCCCGAGGGTGATGGGACCCACCACCCAGATTTGCTGGGGTCTTTTCCATTCAAGAACTGCAGTCTATGAATGTTTGACTTATAACAGTGCCTTGGCAGATCTTTACAAGTTGTGATTTCTTTCTCTTTTTTTTGAAGATTTTATTTATTTACTTTTAGAGAGTGAGGAAAGGGGAGGAAGAGGGAGAGAAACATCAATGTGTGGTTGCCTCTTGCATACCCCATAATGGGGGCCTGGCCCGCAACCCAGGCATGTGCCCCTGACTGGGGATCGAACTGGCAACCCTTTCATTCTCAGCCTGCTCTCAATCTACTGAGCTACACCAGCCAGGGCCAAAGATGTGATTTCTTTATTGACCTCTCCAAGTTTTGAATGGACAGACCCAGCCAGCGCTCAGCCAGGTCATGGGAGGTGCGAACAAGCCCTGTGTTTGAAGAGCTGGGGCAAGGCTGGTAAATTCCCTCCTACTCCGATCCCCTTTAGATCTGAGGCAGAAGCACGAGGGTTACATTACACAACATACTCATTCTTTATGATGAAGTATGATTAGAAATGTTTTAATCTTCTGCAGTGGAGTTTTTATGAAAACCGTATCCCTGTAGAAACTTTGGGGCCCTTTATTCTAATGCTTTTTCTGAATTTTAACTCTGGGATCCTTCACTTCAGAGGAGACTGGGGAAGCCTGGAAGCAAGGGCAGAAATGTTGCCTTTTACCTGCGAACCCCATGCACATATCAGGCTGTAGTCTCACAGGACGCTCTCTGTGTTATAGCAGTGAACTTGGCACCGAGGAGTAAGAGGCCGTGCTCCTGGGCAGGCCAAGTGGGCATAGCAGGAAACCTGAGGTCTGAGTTATTGGGAAGTTGGCACGTGCCCGGGGGGTCACACTAGGACAGCCCTGGGGTGGGGGCGTGTAATTGACTGCACGCCACAGACCAGGAAATCAAAGTTCGGAGAATTTCCGAAGACAGGCTCAGGTCAATCAGATGACACACGGCACGGCCTCCACCCAGGTCAGCCTCGTGCCAGAAGTGCTGCTGCTGCCGCCGACCTCTGCAAGTGCACACCTAAGCACTCTCAGGGGCAGGGGGTGGGGCTCTGGGGCACAGTCATGCTCCTCTGCTCCTCCACCAGCCTGGGGTTCATGCCCCTCCCCCTGGACTCACTGAGGCCTCCACAGCTCTTCAGATCGAATTATACCAGGGGGTGAGAGTGACGGTGAAGGACAACCCCAACACTCCCCTTTCCATTTGGAAGTAAACGGGTTGTGGGCTCCAGTAGTAACTGGAGTAATTTGTTGTTGGAAATGCTCCCATTAGCGGGCCCTCCCTACTGTGTCCTAAGGAAGGCTGTGGTCTCCTATTGCCACACTCTCAACAAAGCAGGGCCAGGGGACCCTCCTGTTTGGGATGATAACCGTGCAAGGTGGGAAGGGGCTGTGGTTCCGAGCAGTTTGGAAAACATCGGGCTGTTTGCTGGGGTTCCGGCTCCGTCTGCTTCCAACATTCCCTCCACCTTCCTGCTCGGCACCCCCTTGTGGCTAAACCACACTGCTGGTCTCGGCAGAAGTACCCTGCTTGGAGAACAGTGTCCCTCACCTCGCAGACCAAGGCTGGGTCCCTGTTCCCCGCACAGTGCAGGCTTCTCCTCTGTGACAGCTGTCCTGGCTGTTTCCTACGGTCATCCGTGATCTTAACACAGTGACATGGTAAACCCACGCAGGCAGGGCCATTCCTGCGTGGTCTGCTCCGTGTCTCCAGCAGCCCTCACCAGGCGTGGCGGGTGCTTGGGAAACACCCACTGCTGGATGAGTAAAGGGTTGAAGAAGGCAGGTTCCTGGTGCAGAAGGAACAGAGAGGAAGGAAGATGGAATTCCATCTGCAAAGGTAGCAGGGACCCAGGACCTGGGGCACGTGGGACAGTCCGAGTCAGCGGTTTCTGCGGGGATGACTCACGTGAGAGGCTAGCAGAACAGATGAGCCCGATTAGCCTTTGAGACGGTCGAACAAATTTTCCACTGGAGGTAGGACACCTGCTCCTCTTACATTTCTCCAAGGCCAGGTCTGGTCCGGCACCCCATGGGCCAGTTTTGCCTTGGCCGGCAGATCAGCTCCCATCAAAAGTCGGGTTTGGCTCACCAGGCATTAATTGAGCACCTACAGTGTGCCAGGCACCAAAGCATACGTTTCTAAGTCCACGCTCCTGGGGACTTGGGTAATCAGAGCCTTTTCCAGAAATTCACAGACTTTTCTCAAATGTGTTTTCCCCTCTAAAGTCGTCCCCTGGTTGGTGGCCCCTGCAGCGGCCCACTTGCTAGACTGTAAAAAAGTCAAGCGGTTTAGGATGTAGCACAAAAGTTCTGGGATGTGGGTATGAGATGCTTATGTTCACAGCTTTTACTAGGGCTGTCCCTGGGTCTCTGACGTCAGTCTGAGAATTTCTGACTCTCTTTGGGTCTTGTTTCTGGTTTCTGATTCCACCCATTTCAGAGGGTAGCCCCTTAATAAATTCGACCAACCCCTGCTCACCCCCACCAGTTACACACCTAGGCCTTGGAGTCAGGCAGGTCAGGTTTGAATTTCATGCACCTCCACGCTCTGTGACTCAGAGCAAGTCACAGGGTCCCCCTCTCTGGGCCTTGGGTTTTCATGCTTGATCTGTGAAATAGGATAATAATAATAATTAATACCGTGAAATGGATAAGAATAATACTTCCTTTGTAGGGCTGCTGGGAGGGGTAGACGAGATTCTGGATGCAAGACGCTCGCTACAGTGGAAGGTGTTGTCATTATTTATTAGTATAGTTAATATTTGTGGCAGGGAGCAACAGAGAGCAGAGGCTGTTCTTGGAGGTGAGGGTTGCAATTCTTCGGGTAACGAAGTGTGATGTTGCACCAGCACCCTTGGTCACAATCGCAGGAGAAGGCAAGGCTCTTGGACTACATGGGTGTGTGTCTTCTCAAGTCTCACAGTTTGCACAGAAGTGCACCCCCCTGGTGGGGGAGGTGCGCCTGAAGGTTGTCACATATCTTTTTCAGATGCAAAAGGACTGAAACAAATGACTATTCACAACAGAACCAATTTGCTGATTGCTGCTCCTGGTTTAGCGGCTTTGGCAGAGTCCCCATCTTCAGCCAGTAGTTAATTAACTCACCGTCTGGCATGAAGCCAAGAGCACATTCTGCTTAAGCCCTGCAGCAGATGTCCCCTTCTCTTAGCTCTCCCTCTCTGCCTGGGAGAGGGGGTCTCTCTGAACTGCCTTCCAGGTGTGGCTTTTCCTGATTCCGGTATTCTAGACATTGATTTGAAAGTCTTTTTCTTCATCTGGGCAGAATGCTCCTGTCGCCCTCAAAGTCCTTCCCAGGAGAAGGACCCCAAGTCTAGAGAAGAGCTTTTCTTGTTTATTTCTTGGTTGCACTTTTGTTCCTCAGGAGTGGACACATGTAAAAGCAAGCCCTCAGCTCCAAGGAGCCAAGCGGCACACTGTGATGACTGCATCTCAGCGCTGCTGACACAGGATCTTTCTCGGGCTTACGGAGGGAAATTCTGCACCCAGAGCAAGAAAGCCTGAGGGTGAGGAGCACGGGCTTCCAAGTGAGGCCACTGGGTCCTAAATGTGTGAACTTGGGGAGTGCCTGGGCCTGTTTCCTCTTCTGTAAAAGGGGAGCGAGGCCCTGGCTGGTGTGGCTCAGTGGATTGAGTGCCAAAGGGTCACCAGTTCAATTCCTGGTCAAGGCACATGCCTGGGTTGTGGGCCAGGTCCCCAGTAGGCGCATGCAAACCACACATGGATGTTTCTCTCCCTCTCTTCCTCCCTCCCTCCTCCTCTGTCTAAAAATGAATAAACAAAATCTTTAAAAAAGGGAGCGGGAGTGAGAGCGGGCACCTACCACAGAGCATTGCAGGGATAAGTGGGGACCACGTGTGTGAAGCTTATGACGGTGGCCCTGATGGGCTGTGCACTCAATAAACACCAGTGACACAGGAAAACACCCTGTGATTCATTGGGGTCACTCCCTATGCCCTGCAGTACTCCTGCTCTTTCCTTTCATCCCTTCTTTACCCGCCGTGTTGGCATTAAAAAAATCCTCTCTCTGAAAACGGAACCCTGGTACACTGTTGGTGGGAATGCAGACTGGTGCAGAAACTGTGGAAAACAGTATAGAGGGTCCTTAGAAAATCAAAAATGGAACTAACTGCCTTATGACCCAGCGACTCTGCTTCTGGGTGTATATCTGAAGAAACCCAACATACTGATTTGAAAGAATAGATGCACCCCTGTGTTCATTGCAGCATTATTTACAATAGTGAAGATAGGGAAGCAACCCAAGTGCCCATCAATAAACAAATGGATAAAAAATAGAATATCACCTGGCCATAAAAAAAGAATAAAATCGTACCATTTGCAACAGCATGGGTGGACCTAAAGGGTATTATGCTCAGTGAAATAAGTCAGACAGAGAAAGACAAGTTCCGCATGTCTTCATTTGTATGTGGAATCTGAAGAACAAAATCAAACTCATACCAGCCATGGGGTGGCAACAGGTAGACCTAGTGAGGGCACAAGGCGGCAGGCTGACCATGGTCACATATTTGTGTGCAGATAAACCAAGCGAAGGAGCCAGCAGTGAGACAGATCACTCAGGCTAGGGTCCCAACGACATGAATTAGAGCCTGAAAGCACCAATTGGAAAGACTTTCAGGGTTGAGGTGCCAGGAGAAGCTCCCAGGCTCACAGGGAGTTCGTTGGAGAGACCCACAGGGTCCTGGAGGGTGCACAAGCCTACACACCTGGGAACCAGAACCAGAATGGCCCAATTTGCTTGTGGGAAGCGGCAGAAGGGACAGAAATCTGTGAGAGAGCAGAACAAACACCATTGCCCCTCTCTGACCCCACCCCCACGTACAGCATCACAGCCCAGCTACCTGGGTGGCCCCGCCCTGGTGAACACCTAAGGCTCCGCCCCTCATACATAACAGGTGCAAACAGACCAAAACATGACAGCTCAAGAACAGCTCAAAGCCCCAGAGCCAATATTTCTAATCGACTGGGAGATAGCTAACCTTTCAGATGCACAATTCAAAACACTGGTGATCAGGATGCTCCCAGAATTAGTTGCACAATTCAAAACACTGGTGATCAGGATGCTCCCAGAATTAGTTGATTTTAGTCATAAATTAGAGGAACAAATGAAGGCTAAACTAATTGAAATGAAGGGAAATGCACAGGAAACCAATAGTAATGGAAAGGAAACTGGGACTCAGATCAAGGGAGTGGACTAGAAGGAAGAAAAAAATGACCAAACAGAAAAGAATGAAGAAACAAGAATTCAAAAAAAATGAGGAGAGGCTTAGGAACCTCCAGGACATCTTTAAACGCTCCAACATCCGAATTGTAGGGGTACCAGAAGGGGAAGAGGAACAGCCATGAGTGGAAAATCTATTTAAACAATAAAGGAGAATTTCCCCAATCTGGCAAAGGCAATAGACTTCCAGGAAATCCAGGAAGCTCAGAGAGTCCCAAAGAACTTGGATCCAAGAAGGAACACACCAAGGCACATCATAATTATATTAGCCAAGATTAAAATAAAGGAGAGAATCCTAGAAGCAGCAAGAGATAAGGGGACAGTCACCTACAAAGGAGTTCCCATCAGACTGTCAGCTGATTTCTCAAAAGACACCTTACAGGCAAGAAGGGGCTGGAAAGAAGTATTCCAAGTCATGAAATCCAAAGACCTACATCCAAGATTGCTCTATCCAGCAAAGCTCTCATTTAGAATGGAAGGGCAGATAAAGTGCTTCTCAGATAAGATCAAATTCGAGGAGTCCATCATCACCAAGCCCTTATTATATGAAATGTTAAAGGGACTTATCTAAGAAAAAGAAGTTAAACATGAACAGTGAAAGGACAACAAACTCACAGTTATTAGCAACCACACCTAAAACAAAAGCAAACTAAAAGGACAGCTAGATCAGGAGTGGAAACGTAGAAATGAAGATCTCAAAGAGGGTTAGCAACAGGGGAGTGGGAGGAGGAGAAGGGGGGAGAAGGTACAGAAAATAAGTAGCATAGACAGTAGATAGAAAATAGATGGGGGGGGCAAGAATAGCATGGGAAATATAGAATCTAAAGAACTTGAGACACATGGTCATAAACTAAAGGGGGGGTAATTGTAGGGACGAGGGGGTAGGGTGGAGGGGAATGAAGGGGGGAATAGAACAACTGTAACAGCATAATAAAATTTAAAAAAAATAGGGGGAGGGCAAGAATAGTAGGGGAAATATAGAATCTAAAGAACTTGTGACACATGGACATAAATGAAAGGGGGGGGAATGGTGGGGGAGGGGTGTGCCGGGTGGAGGGGAATGAAGGGGGAAATGGGACAACTGTAATGGCAAAATCAATAAAATATATTTTTTAAAAAATCAAACTCATAGACACAGAACAGACCCACGGTTGCCACAAGGGATGGGGGTTAGGGGACTGGGTGACAAAGGTGAAGGGATTGAGAAGTACAGATTGGTGGTTACGAAATAGTCGTGGGGACGTAAAGTGCAGCATAGGAAATAGTCAGTGACGTTGTAATAGCACGGGCATTGAACGCTCACGGCTCCATCCCCTGGGAATGTCCTGACTTGGAGAGGGTTGTGAACCTGCCTGAGGCTCCCTCTGTGTGCAGGTGGCAGAGGGCCCCAAACAAGGTGCCCAAAGATGGTGGCTTTCGCCGGGGTATAGAAGAGGGCCCTGGCCTGCAGCTGGGACCTGGGGGCTGGGCATGGCTGTGTCCCTCATTTCATGTGTGACCTCTGGCCTCTGTTCATCCATAACAGGGACCCTGGACTCACCAGGTGCTCCCCCTCTTAGGCTGAGGTTGGAGCAGGCAGCTTTTTGGGGAATACTAACCTGTGATGCCTCTGGCCCCTTGGGCCAGAGTACAGGTGAAGGAAGCCACCAGCCAGCTTCGCCTGCCCTGGCAGCCTCACGTGGTTGCTCCCATTACCGTAATTCTCTGAATTTGGAAAAGGGCCTAGTGCTGTCACCTACCAGCTGGAGGGTCCTGGCGCTTCTGCTTTTCTTTCCATCATGCCTCACTCGGCCAGACCCAGGTCTGCTGAGACTCCTCTCCCCTTCCCCCCACCCCAACAGGCGTCTGACCAGTGACCCTCCCTGCCCAGGAACAGAAGGCCACCTCAGCCTGGTTTCCCCGTGTGCACCAGGCTCTCATGATCATGGGAATATTTTGCTTTAGAGACACAGAGTTGGGCAAGGAGGCGATTGCATGAGTGGAGAAGGAGACCTAAGTGCAGGAATGTGGCAAGCCAGAGGGAGGCGGCCCTGAGAGTGCGCAGCCTCTTAAGTACCTGCGCGGAAGGCCAGGTAAGAGCTGAGCGGGGACCTTCACAAATGGCTTCTATTTACCGGTGACAAGTAAGGACATGTGCAGCACAGCTGACTTGGGAGAGCCTTCCCCCAATTGGAGCACTGGCTGCACTGGCCGCTCAGACTCCTCCCCCGTGGCCTGAGGCCTCCACGCCACGGGCCTCCTGCTGAAAGGTGACACTGTCCGGGCTGGGTTCCCTTAGTCACTCAGTGAGAGCCACTGTCAGACCTGAACAGACGAGAATACAGCTGGTGGCGGTGTCCACAGCGATGGTAAGTGGCAGGCAGCGAGCTCTCGGAGCTCATCTTGGTGGGGGGGCATGTCCAAGTGCGAGCCGGGATTGCTGGTTGAATGCCAACCTTCTGCCCCTCGCTTCCTCAGAGACCTTGCCTGCTTTGGATGTGGAGGGGGCTGGAGACCAAACTCACGGACCCCCTGGCTCCGGAGCCCTTGCTTGGCTGCTGGCCAGCACTTGTTGGAGCCGAGCTGTGTCCTGCCTTTGCCGTGGCCAGGGCCACGATTGCTCTGGCACCAGGCAGCTGTTGCTTGGGTTCAGTTTGCATGAAATAGAAATAGCGCTGGCCAGCGTGTGGTTTGGGGGTCAGCTGGGTTATTTTAGTGGAGGGCCACAGCTTGGTGTGGCGTGGCCCACAGAGGCTCATGGGAAGGGCCCCTCTGGCCTCTCCCGCCCATGGAGCCAGACCCCATGCACAGTGCTCCCAGATCAGGGGTGTCAAACTGTCACCGAGGGCCACAGCGAGATTGCCTTCAGAGGGCTGAGTGTAATTTTAGGTCTGTATCAATGTAACTGCTCCTTAACAGTTAAGCGAGAGCTCAGTGGGTAGAAACAAGGTGCCAGACTGGATAAAACCAGGTGGAGGGCTGGGTTTGGCCCGTGGGCCTTGTGTTTGCCACCTGGGTCCTAGATCATTGTGCACCACCCAACATTGTATGTGTTTTTTAAATCCTCACCTCGGGTATGTTTATGGGTTTGAGAGAGAGACAAAGAGAAACATCCGTTGTACATGCCCCAGCTGGGGATCAAACACAACCCAGGCATGCGCCCTGAGCAGGAATTGAACCCACAACCTTTTGGTGTATAGGATGCTGCTCCAACCAACTGAGCCACCGGCCACGGTGGCATTGTCAGTCCCCACGTCGCTGCACTGTTCCTTCTTCCCCGTACTCAGGCAGGTGTCTGGTTCTAGGATCATCCCCACATGCTGGTAGTCTCAGCCTCCATTTTATGGGATTATTGATATGCAGTTCCGGGGTCGGGCAGGGAGAACGGGGTGGGTGCTGGGCCTGGATCTGAGCGAACTCGGGGTCCATGGCTTCTCCGAGCCACAGTTCGTTGACTGTGAAATGGTACTAAAATAATGACAATAGCAAGTGTTGGTGAGCAGAAACATGACCCCGGTCCAGGCCTGGTGGGAACAGAAAATGATTACAGCGGGTCAGAAGCCAGGTGGCTCCTGAGAAGGGCACACATTGAATCACTCTATGACCCAGTGACCTCGCTCCCAGGTGTGTTCCCGATGAACTGGAAACAGGGACAAACAGCTACACGTACACACGTGTTCGCAGCAGGCTCCAACTTTCTGAGGCCCAAGCCTTGACCTTACCCCGGCACTACTAATGTTTGGGACTAGATGCTCTGGCTGGTGTGGCTCAGCGGACTGAGCACAGGCCTGGGAACCAAAGGGTTGCCGGTTTGATTCCCAGTCAGGGCACATGCCTGGGTTGCAGGCCAGATCCTCAGGTGAGGGTGCTCAAGAGGCAGCTACACACTGATGTTTCTCCCTTTCTCTTTCTCCTCTTCTCTCTCTAAAACAGAAACAAAATCTTAAAAAACAAACAAAACCTTTGGGGCTAGAGAGTTCTTTGTGGTAGCTACTGTCCTGTGTAGTTCAGGATGTTGAGCAACACCCCTGGCTCTACCTACTGGGTGCCGGTGACACCCTGCTCCCAGTTGTGACAACCAAAAATCCCTCTGGACATTGCCAGATGTCCCTGGGGAATAAAACTGCCTTTGGGTGAGAACCATTTGTCTTGTTCAAAAAAATATGTTTATTGATTTTAGAGAAAGGAATCGGGGGGAGACAGACATTGATGTGAAAGAGAAACATCAGTTGGTTGCGTATCATGTACGCCCCGACCAGGGACTGAACCCACAATCTAGGTTATGTGCTCTGACCGGGGATGGAGCCCAGAACCCTCTAGTGTACCGGACGATGCTCCAATCAGCTGAGCCACCTGGCCAAGGCGAGAACCACTGGCCTTAACCCGTATGCCTGTTCCTTCCCTCCCTTCTGCTTCTAGATGGCAAGGTGGGAGCTTCTAGTAACAGGTCTATTTCTTACTAATTTCTCACACATAGTAAGTCCTCCAGAAAAGCTTAAAAAGTGTCAGGAAGAAAGGAGAGAGTCCTGAAGTTGCTGGCTTACTCATGCCCTCGGACAAATTTTGAAATTGGTGACTGGCAGATGGCATCACCAAAAGTGTTGCCAAGGCTCTCCTACATCCTCCCCAGGCAGGAAGGCAGGTCAGGGTAGAAGGCCACGCCCCTCTCACACCCTCTGCCCACACACTGGCCAGGCAATTCGGCCACCCCACAACCAGCTCCCACCAGGTTCTGGTATCCAACACCTTGGTTCAATTTGTGTATTCCTATTAGCTTTTTGTCGTTATTGGTTCTTCAGGATTTCCTACATATAGGATCATTGCCAGCTGAGAATAAAGATGGTTTTACATCTTCTTTGCCAGTTTGGATGCTTTTATTTCTTTTTCTTGTCTTATTCCCGGGCTTAGGGGGAAAGCGTTCATTCAGTCTTTGACCTTTGAGTATATGTTAGCTTTTCTTGCCTGTGCATTAGCATGTCGAAGTTCCCTTCTATTCTTAGTTTTCTGGGCGCTTCGATCATGAAAGGGTGCTGGGTTTTGTCAACTCCTTTTCTGGGCCAGTTGAGATGATCACGTGCTTTTCCCCCTTTACTCTTACTGTGGTTGGTTACATTGGTTGGTGTTGGACCACCCGCATCTGACCTTTCTTTTAAACAAAACTTGATGACCTCAAAAAAACAAAAACAAAAAACAAAAAGCCTTCTGACCCTCTGTGTATGCTGGAAAGTATTGGGTTGGCCAAAAAGTACGTTTTGTTTTTTTCCTTAAAATAAAAGACACATTTTTCCTTTTCACCAGTAGCGTTATTGATTTGGATGTCTTTTTAGTATGTCGGTTCTCTTCCATGTGGTACAATGTTGATGTTGAATGTTTCAATCTGATTGCTGGCATTTTCAACTGGTCTACCTGACTGCAGAGCTGTGTCCAATGAGAAATCTTCAGCACGAAACTTGACACCACTTTTGACACGTTCGATCCGTTACAGCACCTTCCCCATACACTGCACAATTCTTTTTTTTTTGCATTTCAGTTCCATTTTTACCTTCTTGAAATGAGAAAGCATAATATGCCAAAACTGATATTTATTTTTTATCATCTTCGATATTAAAATGGCTACGCAAACATTCATCAATTTTTATGTTTGTTTTTTTTGAAGATTTTATTTTTAGAGAGGGGAAGGGAGGGAGAAAGAGAGGGAGAGAAACATCAATGTGTGGTTGCTTCTCACTCGCCCCCTACTGGAGACCTGGCCTGCAACCCAGATGTGTGCCCTGACCAGGAATCAAACCAGTGACTTTTGGTTCATAGGCTGGTGCTCAACCCACTGAGCCACACCAGCCAGGGCTCATCAGTTGTTTTTTTAACTGCAAGCAGATATGACAGTTGTCACAATACAATCTAACAGAATTGTTTCGATTGACGTTAAAGACTACTAAGTGGTAATAGAGCCATCTTACAAAAAGGTCAAATGAACTTTGTGGCCAACCCAGTGCCTTTGACAACACGTTTTGGCAAATTCTGTTGCCGGAAGTGTGAGAGTGGCACGTGTGCCAGGTGGTTCTGGGAAATCTGGAGAACTTCTCGGCTTCCCTTAAGAACATCGTGTTGAAACTAAAGGGTAAACACCTTTTAGACACTACATTGTTAAGCTTAAGCTTTGTGATCCCTTTTTAATGCTTTTATCCTATAACTAGTAAAACTGTGGCTCAGAAATTTCAACTTGTTCAGGTTATGTTTTTGTTTGTTAGCTTTTTTGTTAACAATATTTTTTTCAGCCCTGGTTGGTGTGGCTCAGTGGATTGAGTGCCAGACTGCAAACCAAGGGGTCCCCAGTTCGATTCCCAGTCAGGGCACATGCCTGGGTTGTGGGCCAGGTCCCTGGTAGGGGGTGTATGCAAGAGGCAAACCACACATTGATGTTTCCATCTCTTTCTCCCTCTCCTTCCCCTCTGCCTACAAATAAGCAAATAAACAAACAAATAAATAAAATAATCTTTAAAAAAAACTGAAAAACCAGTATTTCCTTCCAATAAAAATAACAATTATCTACTCATCAAGGGGACAGAGTTTGTGTGCTGGAAAGAGACATGGGTTAGAAATCAGCAAATCTACATTCATTCATTCAGCCGAGTGAACTTCTGTCCGTGGGTGAGCTCTCGCTCTCGGCCCAGTGCTGTTCTGGGCCCTGGAACAGAACGTGCCCTGCCAGGCCTGTGTCTTGCCAGCACCCTCCACATCAGAAGTGCTGGCGCTGTGAGGAAGAGAGCGCGGGGGTGTCTTTCCTCCTTCCCTCATGCTGATTATGATGATAATGATAGTGATGAGGGTGACAACAGAAGTGACAGTCCCCTTGTGTCTTCAAATCGGAACGCAGTGAAGTCTTTTTTGGTAGCAGCTGCATTGAGCTATAATTCACATACCACGTGATTCACTCATGTAAAGTGAAGGGGGTTTAGTATATTCTCACTGCCATCAATTTCAGAACATTTTCATTGCTCCAGACACACCTTGAACCCTTTAGTTACCATCCCTAACCCACTAGCCTGGCAACCACTCACCTTTTCTCTCTATGGATTTGCCCCTTCCGGGCATATAAGCTACACGGAATTATACAATATGAGGTCTTTTGTGACTGGCCTCTTACTTAGCGTGTTTTCAAGTCTCAGGCATGCTGTAGTATGTATCAGCGTTCCATTCTTTTCTGTGGCTCAGTAATATTCCATTGTACAGATGGATCACTTTCCATTTATCCATTCATCGGTTAATGGACATTTGGATTGTTTGGACTTTTTGGGTGCTGACGATGGTATAGGAGCCCTCTAACATACCTCATCTCCTTTATTTGGTTCTCTCTCACATGCACGTTTCTGATTGACATTGAGCATGGGTTAATGTACCTGAATTCGAGGTGAGATGCCTGGATTCATGCGGGGTTCAGGAATGTGCCCAAGACCACCCCACAAGATGAACCACAGCTGGGTCTCTCAACTGGATACGAGGCCTAGCTGCCTCCCTCTGCACTAGGTCCCTTCAGAGAAAAGTAACTCGGTCACACAGACCCTCAAGCATCTCTCCTTTTCTCCTCACAGGTTTTCTGAATGATCCTGCTATTTTTCCTGTCTTGTCTGATTGTCTCCTGTCTGACCTTGTCCTGGTTAAAGATCCGGGGGAAAATGACCGACTCCACACCGGCCACCAAGAACCACTCGGAGGCCCTTCCAGCGTCTGACAGCTCAGAGGAGCCGCCACAGAAAAACGGAGACAGCAGCTCTGTGTCAGAGACTCCTGACCAGGTTGAGCCAGCCTCCCTGAAAGGTCCCAAAGATGCCTGTCTGCGAAGACCCTCCCGGCCGCCCCCATATCGGAATCCTCAGAAAAGCCCCCATCCCTCCCGGGATGCCTCCCCAGCCAGTGGGACAGGGCCTCGGGGCCCGGAGGCCCCAGCCGCCAATGGCGCATCCTCACCAACCAGGCCCCAGGCCCTCGGCAGAGCCCTCTCCAGAGAAGACCAGAAGCAGGCGCACATCAAGCGGCAGCTGATGACTAAGTTCATCCTGGGCTCCTTCGATGACAACTCCTCTGATGAGGACCCGGGCATGGGATCCTTCCGGGACTCTTCCCGCAGGGGCAGCCGCGCCAGCCAGGGGGCCCTGTTCCCGGAGGCTGCTCGGGCCACGGGCGGCTCTGAGTCCCCCGTCCCCACGATGAGGTAATGTGCCCCTCATCCTTGAGTTAGTGAAGGGTCTGCCCTTTCCCTGCTCGGTCACGCCATCTGCTGATGGCGACACTCCCAGGGTAGCTCTGTGAAAAGCAGGAGACAGTAGCCTTCTCTTCTTCCTTCCCTCCCCCCTTTCAGAACCGTTTACTAAACACCTACTGCGTGCACAGGACATTGGCTTTCTAGCCGACCTTGGCTGAGCTGGGGAAGATGGCCTTGTGTGTAACCGGTCGTAATTTAAGCCGAATGAGCTAAGGCTGGCAGGAGCCACAAGGGACGATGGGAGCCTGAAGGGCAAGACAGTTTCCCTGCCTCCTAAAGAGATACTCATTCCTTGTTTCTTTCATTTTTTAAAGATTTTTATTTTAAAGAAGGGGGAGGGAGGGAGAAAGAGAGGGAAAGAAGCATTGATGTGGGAGAGAAAAATCGATCAGCTGCCTCTCGCACACCCCCTACTGGGGACCTGGCCCACAATCGAGCCATGTGCCCTGATGGGGAATCGAACCACCAACTATTAGGTTTGTAGACCGATGCCAAACCCACTGAGCCACACCAGCCAGGACTCACTCCTTGTTTCTAACGAGTGAGAATCCCATGTGGAGGTATCTTCAGGGAGTCAAGCCCTGGTGCCACTGACCCCTGGGGGTCAGCTGAATGAAAAAATGATGTCAAGACCTGTATTCCAGCTGGTTGGACACGGTGCCTCAGAATGAGGCCGAGTGTTTTGTTATCTGGCTGTAGAGTTTTGGCTTTGGTATTTCGGTGTCTTCAGGGACCTCAGTAGCCTGGTATGTGGTCCCCCTGGTATTTGGTTGCGCCTTTTCTTGCACCCCTGGCAGGGCCTTGGGCCAACTCTCTGAAGAGATGGTCGGGGGAATCCCCTTCCCCCTCCAAAAAACCCCTCCAGAGTGTTGCTTTGCGGAGGGCCGGCTATTCTCTGATGTAGGGTGGTAACACCTTTTCCCCGGGGGACCCCCGGGTGAAATGCTCCAGCCAGTTCAGTGTGGGTCATGGAGTTCGGGATGGGACAGTCTGGCGTACCGCCTGCCACCAGCTGGAGCATCAAGGAACTGGAGCCTGCAGAGTCCTTGTTAATTCCAGGAAGTTCTCTTTTTTCTGATGATTTTTTTTTCCTGATGAGCTTCTCAGTAGTCTGCCACCGTAAGGCACATCTCCTAACCCTTTTGGCCTCGTTTCTCCCAAAGTGGAAGCAGAGAGCAGGGCGGCCCTTCCAGCCTGGTTCCAACTCCTTCCCTATTAGAAAACAAAGGACTGGAGAGTTCGTTCCAGGACTCCTCTGCACTTGTGTGGAGACCACAGCAAAGAAGGGATGTGTATCTGTGGGTCTTCCCTGCCTCCTGCAGTTCCTCGAGAGCCACTTGGCCTCAGTGCCACCCGAAGGCCACCTTGTAGCCCCCCTGAGTCTCTTCCTGCCAGGCCTCCCACTGTGAGACTGGCAAGGCTGGGGATGGAAATACGTGTGTTTAATGTTTGGGCGGAGAGGCAGCGTTTTGAAGCAGCCTGCTAAGGGGCCGTTTTCTGCCCTCCCCACCCCACAATACGCACCCTCGCAACTCTGGGCCTTTGTACTTGCTGTGCTCTCTGAACTGACTCTTCCCCTTCACACCCTAGACCCCCCACCAGGGCTGGCTCCACAGCCGGGACCGGGCAGTCACACAGCACCTTGTGCACGGGGCCCAGTGCTCTGTTGTCACCGTCTTGGGATTCTCAGTAACTTTTGAACAACAGGCTCTACGTTTTGCCCTGGGCCCCATAAATTCTGTAGCCAGTCCTGCCTCCATCTCTAGCTTTTGCCTATCAAAGTCACCACCTGCAAGGGCCTCCCTGACCCCCTCCCACCTTCAGAGTACTCCACTTATGCCCCCAGTTTCTTGATCCATCACCCTGATGTGTGGTTTTCACAGCACCAAATCACTCCTTGAGATTATGTCTTTCATTTCCTCATTTGTTTACTTAGTTTTTCCCTGTCTCCTGCACACTCCACGAAAACGGGGCCATATTTACGGGGTTTCGGCTTTCCCCCACTCCCTAGCCTAGTGCGAGCTTAGGGTAGACTCTGGGTAAGTATTTGCCAAATGCATGAATGAGGTGAGCAAGGCATGCTTGTCAGAGACAGAGTATTTTATTTCCGGGGCATGCGGAACACTCGGTGAACGAGTCTGGGGGTAGATGGATGAATGAGTGAATGAATGAAGAGACATGTTGTTGTTGCTCTATAGCAGAAGTAGGATTTTGGTTCTTAGAGAATTCTTTTCGCACAAGTCTTATGACATCACAGATTAGTTCTGAGGTTAAACTCCAATTTTGAAATTTTTGTCTGCTTTTTATACAGCTACACAATCTCCCCCTTCCCTTCCATTTTCCCAGCTGACAAGGGCTGGCTGAAAATATTACAGACCCGATGATTTCATGCTGTTTGTTCAGGGCTCTCCTCCCCTCCCATCTCCTCCCTTTTGGGTGCATCTCAGGCCAGGGGTTGGGACTTGGCCTTTCCTTGCACCTGGAAACAGTCCCCGAAGGTTGGAAATCCCACACAACCTTTAGAAGTAGAGGAGATGAGCATGTGACGTCATGTGGCGGGACAGGTGCTCGCATACCCTGAAACAAAGGCTGCAGGTTCTCCCCTTTCATTTAACACGCGGTGGTGTGGTCAGTGCACCAGGTTCAAAGCCACCTCTTCCTAGCTTGTTGCCCTAATAGTGCCGCCCTGTGGGGTGCACGAGGGGACGGAGTGGGATGGGATGGATTTGGGGTTGCGCAGCTCCTGAAATGTAAAGTCATGAAATTCAAGTTCATGAGCTGGCAGTGAACTCACTCACCAGCAAACCCGCCTGGGATAGTTATTTATAGTCTTTATCCCCTTTTGCGTGAACGCTCAAGTCTGCTGCTGCTGAAATATTAACGTGAAAATGTGTAACATAAAGTTTTACTTTCCTAACAAAATGCGGTTCCCCAATTCCGGAGCCCATGGTGCCCTGGCAGTTTCGGGAAAAGGATTTTGGATACACATAGGTAGCATGCTTAGACCATTCCTGGCACACAGGGAACAAAAAAATGCTTGTGTCTAATAAATGCAGGCATGTGGCAGGAGAGACAGGAAGGAGGGTCTCCGAACGTTAATAATCATTGTCTTTGTGTGGCATGATTATCAGTAATTTAACTCTTATTCTGTGTTCTCTAACTTCCCGCTGTAAATATTGTTCTAACGAGTTTTAACAACGTTCGATAATAAAACATTATAAAGTATATTGTGGGTGGGGGAATGAACAGGTATCTCACTGCCTAGCAACGAAGCTGAGGACAGAGAGGTCCAGGGGTCTGTCTGAGGTCTCCCAGCGGGTGTCTAGGCTCACCACGGGCCTAGAGAACCGTCTGAACCCAGACCCTCAGCAGGTGCAGCTTAGAAAGCAGGCTGACAACTCCCAGTGTCGATGTTGCCCCCTGACTGCGATCCCCCGGCAGAGGCATCTCCACCCTCATCCAGCTTGTTCTTTCCACGAGTGGGAGAGTCGGGGGGTGGGGCAGTTTGTCAAGCAACCATCATTGAGCTGGGTGATCTTGGGGACGTCACCCACCCTCTCTGGGCCAGACTGGATACTCCAAGGTCCTTTGTGACTCTAATAGTGTTTGCTTTTCTTTTTTTAAACCCTCACCCAAGGATATGTTTATTGATTTTAGGGTTGGGGAGAGAGAGAAACATTGATGTGAGAGAGCAGCTTCCATCGTTTGCCTCCTGTGTGTGCCCCGACCAGGGGTCCAACCTGTAACCTAAGTGCATGTCCCAACTGGGATTTGAACCCTCAGCTCTTTGGTGCACAGGATAGTGCTTCAAACAATTGAGCCACCAGGCCAGGGCTGCTTTTGTTTTTTTTGTGTGTGTGGGGAAGGGTAGGTGGGGACTGGGAGAGGGGGAAAAGAGAGCAGCTGGAAAATTGGAAAAAGCTTAATTTTTAACCATTTTCTCCTTCACTAATTACTGCAGAGGGTCTGGGTTCTAGGCAAGTTGAAGGACAAACTAAGGCATGAAATGGTTAAACAGAAAAGCTAAGGTTTGTCCCCTCCATTCATTGGCTTGGGAGCATTTATTGCAGCCCAGCTGGGTGGGTGCCAGGCACTGTGGCTGGCACTGTGGACGCATAGATGGCGAGACCTGGCCCCTGCCCTCAGAGAGGACAGGGTGAGGGCTGAGAGGCCGTGAGCGCAGAAGGTTGCCCTTCATAGCTGGAGAGGGTGGGGGGGCCAGCCGACTGAGGACTGGCCTGCCGACTCCTCCCCCCCGCCATCGCGGGACCTGGGGCTGAGCCATCACCTTTCTGTGCGTCAGCGTCCTCTAAAGTGAGGCCACAGTGGCCCTGCCTCACAGGGCCAGTGTCAGGCTTCGTTAGGTTGCTATGAGCACAGCACTTAAAGCAGTGCCCACTGTGCAGTGATGGTCACTGAATGCAAAGCATGGTGTCATAATAAGGGCCCAGGCCCCATTGCGAGACAGGCCTGGGTTCGGATCCCAGAGTAGTCCCCGGACCCCTCTGAGCTGCAGTGCCCTTCCCTGCTGACGCAGACTGGGACTGGCTGTCCTCTGGAAGTCGGTTGAACGCACGGGAGGAAGTGCCGGGAGTGGATGGCCCCAGGTTGCCTCGGTTGTTGTCTGTTGAATGGGCATCTCCCACAGCTCTCACTGGTATCCATGGCTGTTCCCAAGCCCCAACAGGTGTACGTGTCTAAGGTAGGGCAACCTGTGTCCTCGGAGGAGGAAGAGGGATTGAAAAGGCAGGTGGAGTGTCCCTGATACAGGATGAAATACAAACCAGCAGGTGGGGGCTGGGCCTTTTCTCTGCCATTTCCTAAAATGCTCACTTCCACGTGGGAGTGTCAAGTTCAAGAGGTGCAGCAACGCACACCTCAGATCCTGAGAAGGCGAGTGAGGGCCTGTGGGGTCTGGACAGGAAGGAGGGAGCCCTGCCAGGGACTGA